GAATCCCTGCACTTAACATTTATGTTAATTAAGTAATTAACTAAGTGAGTTAATTTTTGTACATGTTGGCTGTTGTCATCATTATCATCAAATGGATTCCCAAAGCAGGAAATGTCGCGAAAACTACACCATATAAAATAAGTAAAGGCTCACCATGTGCCCTGTTGCCCTGGGGTCTTCACATGGGCTGCTCCCTCTGCATAAAACACAAAACATTAAATTTACCATCTTCACCATTTGAAAATGTAGTGTTAAATACATTCACATTGTTGTGCAACAGATCTTTAGAATTTTTTTCATCTTGCAGAATTGAAACTCTATACCCATTAAACACAAATTCCCCCTCTCCCTTCCTCCCAGCCTTTTCTACCTTCTGGTTCTGTGATTTTGACAACCTCAGACACTTTATTTGAGTGCAATGAAGCACTACTTTCCTTCTTGGGACTGGATTATTTTGCTTAGCATAGTGTCTTAGAGGCTCACCCATGTTGTAGCATACCTCAGAACTTCCTTCTTTTTAAAGGTTGCATAGTGTTCCACTGTGTGTGCACACCACATTTGCTTTATCTGTTCATCTGTTGATGCACATTTGGGCTGTTTCTACCTCTTGGCTACTGTGAATATTTCTGCAATGAACCTGGGTATGCAAATATCGCTTTGAGATCCTGCTTTGAATTCTTCTGGATATATACCCAGAAGTTAGGTTTTTACTTTTTTAAGGACTTACATACTATTTTCATAGTGGTTTCACCACTTCCCATTCTCACTAGCTATGCACAAGGGTTTCCGTTTCTCCACATCCTCTCCAACACTTGCTATTTTCTGTAGTTGTTATTTTTTTTAATAGTGGCTATCCTAATTGATATGAGGTGATATCTCATCATGGTTTTGATTTGCATTTCTCTTATGGCTAGTGATGGTGAGTATCTTTTCATGTGCTTCTTGGCTACTTGTACATCTTTGGAGAAATGTCTATGCAAGTCCTTTGACTACTTGTATTTTTTTTGAGGGTCTATGTACTTTATTATACTTCCTTGTTTTTATTATTTTTCTGAACATAAACTATCCAAGGGTTGATTATTATGAAGTCCCAAGTTATATTGGGCTGAGTACTGTGTGTGTGTGTGTGTGTGTGTGTGTGTGTGTGTGTGCGTGTGTGTGTTCTAGACTTTTTTATTATTAGTGTCAGGTGTACAAAACAACATAGAGATTAGACATTTACACCCCTCACAAAGTGATAACCCTAACAAATGTATTTACTACCCATCTGACACTGTACATAGGTATTCCAATGCTATTGACTATATTCCCTATGCTGTGCTTTACATCCCATGACTATACATACGCTTTTAAATTATAGTTGACATTCAATATTATTTTATATTAGTTTCAGGTGTACAGCACAATGGTTAGGCATTTATATAATTTATGAGGTGTTCCCCCCACAAATCTAGTACCCATCTGATTCTATACATAGGATTTACAATATTACTGACTATATCCCCCATATTGTATTTCCCGTCCCTGTTTGTAACTACCAATTTGTACTTCCTAATCCCTTCACCTTTCTCACCCATCTCCCCAATCCCCCCACCCACCATCTAGCAACCATCAGTTTGTTCTCTGTATTTATGTTTTGTTTGTTCATTTATTCTGTTCTTTAGATTCCACATGTAAGTGAGATCATATGGTATTTGACCCCTTTAAGTCAGGGGTCGGCAAACTTTAGACGGAAGAGCCAATCCTGTCTCTCACAACAATTTAAAAATTATTCGAGAGCCATAAAACAAATGAAATCACCATTATGTGAATAATATCCTTTGAAAGTTTTATAAATGAAACTGTGATAGTTTTATTTTTATTTTCAATTTGACTTCAGAGCCACATGTACGTACCCAAAGAGCCGCAGGTGGCTCGCGAGCTGCGGTTCGCCGACCCCTGCTCTAGGTCCATCCATGTTGTTGCAAATGGTAAGATTTCATTCTTTCTTATGGCAGAGTAATACTCCATGTACCACAGTTTCTTTATCCAATCATCTATTGCACCAATTTGCAATCCCACCAACAGTGCACGAGGGTTCCCTTTTCTCCACAACCTCGCCAGCACTTATTTGTTGATTTATTGATGATAGCCATTCTGACAGGTGTGCGGTGGTATCTCATTGTGGTTTTTGTTTGCATTTCACTAATGATTAGTGACATTGAGCATCTTTTCGTATATCTATTGGCCATCTGTATGTCCTCTTTGAGAAATGTCTATTTAGGTCCTCTGCACATTTGTTAATCGGATTTTTGCTTGTATGGTGCTGAGTTGTGTGAGTTTTTTATAAATTTTGGATATTAATCCCTTATCAGATGTATGTTTGACGAATATCTTCTCCCATTCAGTAGGATGTCTTTTTGTTTTGTTGATGGTTTCCTTTGCTGTGCAAAAAATTTTTAGTTTGATGTAGTACCATTTGTTTATTTTTTCTTTTGCTTCCTTTGACTGATGAGATATATCAGTAAAAACTTTGACCGTTTTTTTTTTTAAAGATTTTTATTGGGGAATTGGGGGGATGGGAACAGTGCTGGGGAATTGGGGGAAGGGGAACAGACAAGTTGCTGTCGTTTTGTTCTTCAATCTAGTTGTGGAGGATGTTGCTTCACTGGCCCAAGTTGGCACCATCATTGCGCTCTTCTCTGGCGAGGCAGATCAGTCGCCGGCTTCTGGACGGCCGCTCACGCTGGCTGCTGGCTACATACGGTAGCCCATGGCAACCCACTGCCACAGGGACTGCAGCCCACACCGTAGCCGGCAGCTCATGGCAGCCCAGCTCCAGGTTGAGCTGTTGTTCAGCATCTTAGCTGTGGAGGACAGTGTCACTGGCCCTCATATGCGGGATCCGAACCGGGGCCCTCTGGCATCCCAAGCAAGTTCTTAACCATCGCGCCACTCCGCCGGCCCAAACTTTGACCGTTTTAAAATGTGGTTATTTGTTGTTTGTTGTTGTTGAGATGTAGGAGTTTTAAAATATATATTCTGGATATTAACAGTTTATCAGATATATGATTTGCAAATATTTTCCCTTATTCGTTAGGTTGCCATTTCTAGCATGGACCTCAAGAAGGAGTATATCTGCCAAGAAGGACTCCTTGTGGTTAACTGGACACACATTTATAACTAGAGTCTAGCAGTCATTGCTGACAGAAGCTTCCCATACACTCTGCATTCCAGGGAAAAGCCAGACTGAGCTGAACTCAGGGAGTTTCTGGTATCACCTTCCAAACACTGAACTGAGACCGGCCCCATCTAATCATTTGCATCTATACTGACCAATCAGAGCAGCTCCACAACGGCCAATCAGAACATAAGAACCCAACCAGTCAGCTATTTGGACCAGACTGTGCATATTTGGAGTCCTAATTTGCATAAAAATGGACCAATCAGGAACCAGGGCAGGAACTTTCTCTACAAAAAGCACCCTGTCTTTCTCTCTAGGAGCTCACTTTTGGTTTCTAACAGAGGGTGCGTTTCCCATTCGCAAACTGTTTACCTGAAAAAAGTTTTACCTTTTACCACGCCCCAGACTTGGGACTCCTGTTGGCATTATATTGATGGCAGTAACCTTTTGTTGACGTTAGTCACCATAAACTTTATTTAATAGCCCTCTCTCACCTGACCTATCAGCTCTATGACGTGAAGGGCAGTATCTGCCACTCTATGGCCTCAGTGTCTAGCTGTTGGGGAAAGTCATTGAGAGGATGTGAGCGCCAGCGGACCAGAGAGCTGGGCCCTAGCAATCCCATTGCCAGTTGTCAGGAGAGCCAGACCCGGTCACACGGCGTCTCCTCACTTCCTCCTCTGTCCTTGGAATGAAAGTTCCACCCGCACCAAGAGTGGTTTCAAGGATGCAGCCTTAAGAGAGCAGTGTGCTGTGGAGACCACCTGGACGGCACACGTGACTGAACCCAGCTAGGGCCTCTGTAGAAACGTCAAGATTCTGGCCTGTGGGTGTGGAGAGCTTCTCCTCTTGTGGGCTCGTAAGTAAGTTCCCTTGATTGGTAATCCTGCCGCCTACCCATCTGAACGGAGCAGTTTGTCTCTTTCTTCGCTCTCATCTTGCCCTCCATGTTGGGGGTGGGGGCGGTTTCAGATTTCACCAGAGAAGCTCCAGTTTTTGAACTAACACTAGTGCCATGGCTGGTGCATAATAGGTCTTCTCCAGGTATTTTCCGAAGGCAGTAAGGAAGGGCTGAATAAATCCTAGAATGGAGAACTGGGAGAGGCATTTGGGAACACCCTATGAGTTCCTGCCCAAGACCAACACTATCCAATAGAGCCGGGGTCGGCAAACTGCGGCTCGCGAGCCACCTGCGGCTCTTTGGGGACGTACATGTGGCTCCGAAGTCAAATTGAAAAATAAAGATAAAACTACCATTGTTTCATTTAAAAAATTGTTAAAGGATATTATTCACATAACGGTGATTATGTAAAAATATATTTATGGCTCTCGAATAATTTTTAAATTGTTGTGAGGGACAGGATTGGCTCTTCTGTATCAAAAGTTTGCCCACCCCTGCAATAGAAGTATAGTAAGAGACATGGTTTTAAATTGTCTAGTAGCTGTATTTTAGAAAAAGAGAAACAGGTGAAATTCATTTTAGCCATATATTTCATTTAACAAACTATATCCAAAATATTACCATTTTAACATGCAATCCATTTAGAACATGTAAATGAGGTTTTTAGAAAATTCTCTTTTGGTCTTATGTTGTAAAAACACCTCAGTTCCTTAGAGGCACTGTTTCAAGTGCTTCATAACCATGTCTGGCTAGTGGCCAACGCTTGGAGAGCGCAGCCCTACCCCGTGGCCCTCCAGGTCCTCTGGGACCCAGCAGTACCCCAGCTGGCACCTGGCATCTGGTGGGCGCTTGGTAAGATTCGCTGGATGGAAGGCAAGAATGAACGCAGCCCCAGGGCAGTGAATAGAGGTCTCCAATGCCAACAGGTGTACAAACCCGCTCTCACAGGAACTTGGCTTGATTCCAAGAAGAAAACGATCAGCTTTCCAGGCAGGAAGTCCAACTCTGGTGCCAGGACATGCAGCCTACGGGGCTGCCCCAGGCCGGGGTCGCCAACGTGCCCTGACCCTGCGGGTGAGCCGACAGGGCGGGGTCTACGGGAGCGCCAAGCACAGGGGACGCGTGACAGCTGCTGGGAGGTGACGCTGTTCACCAGGTTCTGGGGCCGGCGCTGGGACAGACTTTTCAGGTATCCACCGAGACAGGGCAACTTGCGGGGCCCCCTCCCCGGCTCCGATAGGGGATCGATGGGAAGAAGGGGGCACTTCAGTAGGGTTGTCCTCAGGGTGTTTGGCAGCAGGGTGGCCAGAGGTGGCACCGGTGGCTGGGGGAGCGGACGGAGCTGGGGTACGAGAAATGCGAGGAGATCCACCCTGGGAGGGAATCTGGGAGTAGGGCGTTCGGGGTGGCGGCTCCAGCTCCGGGTGGCGCGCGCTGACCTCCTGGTGGAAAGCTTCCGAGGAGCGCACACAATCTGTCGCCCCCATTCAGCGGGCTCCGCAGCCGCAGGGAGGGAAAAATAATCGCACCCATTTAACGGGCGCTCACCCAACTGTGTCTGACCCTCGGGTGAGCTTTTCTCTGCGCAGCCACGAGGTTCGGATCTCCGGCTTTGGAATCGCAGTTTATGCGCTGTGCGCCTCTGGGCAAGTTACATGCCCTCTCTGGGCTCCAGTTTCCACCTCGGTAAAAGAAGAGTTAAACATAGGATGTCCCCCAAAGGATTTCTGTGAGCCTTCTGTGTGCTGGGGACCCAGGAAACACTTCCTAAATGTGAGATGTTGTTATTTCCTGGGGATAATTTCCTGAGATAAGATCTCTTGGCCCCATTTTACTCATGAGGAGATGTGTCCTCAGACAGGTTAAGTACCTTGCCACAGCAATTAGATGGAAACAGCAGGAGTTGAACCCTAGAAGTCAAACTCCAGAGACTGGACCTGATGTCTAACCCAGGTCCCACTTTTTCCTACAAGGATGAAAGGAGGTGGGGATAAGATGCTTTTGAGACCCCTTCTCTCTGCCTGTGAAATGGGTACAGTAATAACACCTAACCAGTGGGTTACTCTGCAGTTAACTGAACTAGCCTCCCTCCTGGAGTGTGCATGCCCCGGGATAGGATGGCTTTTTCGGTTTTATTTGCAGATACTGCCTCAGTGCCTGGCACATACTAGATGCCCCATAAATACTTGTTGAATGAATAAGGGGCACATGTTACTTTTTGTCTTTACAAAATAACCCCTGCTAGCCCCACATGACCGGTGAGGAGACCGAAGTTCAGGGAAGTTAGGTGACTTGTGGGAGGTTATCCTCGAGTCTGTGTGGTCTTGATGTCCAATCCAGACTCCATCACCTCCTGGTAGGGTGAATGTGGCAAGTTATTGAACTCTTCTGTGCCCCAGTTTCCTTATACCTAAAAGGGGGACAATAATGGTACCTACCCCATGTTTTTGGTCAGGGTTAAATAAAGATAAACCACTCTGCACAGTGCTGGCACTTAGCAGGAACTCAGTAAACGCTGGTACAGTGACTGCCGACTGCCCACTCCAAGAGTGGAGGGGATGGCACAGCAGGCGTGTCCATTTAGAGGAGACAGACAGGAGCATGGAGGTCAGAGGGGAGGTGAGAGGCCTTGTTTGCTCTCTGGAACATTCCTGGGAAACCCCCTCATGCTGAGCATAAAGGGAGGGCTGTCACCAGGTGTCCTGCTCTCCTTCTCGTGTGCAGGGAGGCTGTCACAAGGACCTTTTCGTTTATACCCTTCTGTTGTACAAAGGGGGCACAAAGCTCTCTCTGCTTCAGTTGATTCCTTGCCGGCAGATGAGGCTTTTGGGAGGAGGATTTCAGGTGGCAAAGACAGTTATGCAGTGGGTATTCTGGCTGGACCTGTTCAGATATCCTCTCTAAGCATCATCCAGCTCTGGGACTTGGTCAGGTTGCCTTCTGAGCCCCAGTTCCCTGATCTGTTAAATGGACACAGTAATAGGACGTCACAGGATTATTGGAAGAGAAATCTGAACTCATGTCTAGACAGCATTTAGCACAGTGTCTGGCACCTAACCCATGGCAGCTGTTGTTGCCTGTGTCATTTGGTGCCTGATGCTTCTTTCTGACCTTTGGATCTGCTGCTGTGCAGGCGAAACTCTCCAAGGAGGATTAAATAAACTGCCTGTCCCTCGAACTCCTTCTCATCTAGACAGTCTCATTCCAGGGACCCACCCACCCATCAAATCCTTGGAGTTTTGTGCTGCTTGCTCTGTGCCAGCATTATGCTAAGCTCCAGCTCTAGTAATCTATATGGAACCTGGGCTCCAGAGCCAGGCTGCCTGGGTTCCAATGCTGCCTCTGCCACTTTTGGGCTGTGTGGCCTTGGGCCAAGTTACTGAACCTCTCTGTGCTTCAAATCTGTAAAATGGGGCGATTGTAAAATACGTACCTAATTGGGCTGCTGTGAGGATTAAATATAAAACAACATATATATGGTGATAAGAACAAGACATTTATGTATGTTATGAGTCTCTCCATTTTACAGCTGAGGAAACTGAGGCTCAGGGGAGTTAAGCATCTGTCCAATGACAAAGCAATCCTTTGTTCTCTCGCAACTGCCCATTCATTTCCATTCTGCTGCCACCATCTTCCCTCATGCCTCCCTCTTTCCGTGCCTGGATTCCATCAGCTGACCCTATATAGGATCTCTCTTGTTTCCTGTGCTTGGGGCTCCCAGTGTCTGTGCTTCCAGCAGGTTCTCTCTCTCCTTCACTTCCAACACTTTAGGGGTTTCCCACTGACCTTGGGCATAGTTCTTTCTGTTTTACTCTTTCTATTGTTTTATCCGGTTAATAATAGAATGCATAAGCAAGTGACTTTAAACATGTATGCCTTACGGGCGGTCAGTTAGCTCAGGTGGTTAAGAGCGCAGCGCTCATAACATCAAGGTTGCTGGTTCGATCCCCACATGGGTCACTGAGATGTGCCCTCCACAACTAGATTGAAACAACTACTTGACTTAGAAAAAAAAATGTGCCTTATAAGACTATTTACATAGGATGTGAGAAACTCTGCAATTTCATCCCCTGATGTCTAAGCAAATACGGGAAAATCTCTCCCTTCGTGTTTGTCCCCAGCCACCCAGTTACTCACTCCAGGAGCTGCGTCACTTGCCCATTTACAGCGCATCTGCAAACAAAGGAAGACACATGTAATTACAGTCTACAGGGCAGAATATGTGTCATAAACCACACCATATAAGAACGTGATATAGTATCCAAAAATGCGGAAACAGAGGGGGAGAAAACATCTACAGAGGGAAAAGCTGAGTTGCTACTTTTCTTCTCTTACGTAATGAGCAGTTGGGAGATATCATCCGAAGTTCATGGGACATATAATTTACAGCAGTGGCTCTCAACCGGGACAGTTTTGCTTCTCGGAGGACATTTGTCCATTCCTGGAGACTTTTTTTGGTTGTCACAGCTTGTGGGGGTGGTGATGGAGAGTGTTCTACTAGCATCCAATGGGCAGAAGCCAGGGATGCTGCTATACATCCTATAATATTCAGGACTGCTCCGCACAGCAGAGAACCATCTGACTCCAAATGTCAGTGGAGCCGAGACTGAGAAACCCTGGCTTATACCTACAAAAGAATGACTGGCTTGTCCTTTTGCCCGGACTCCAATTTAGCTCAGCTCCATGCTGATTGGCAGGCACGACCCTGCCACCCAGGTGTGCCATGAGTCACATGCTGCCAGGGACCGTCATCTCACCCCAGGAATGACAGACAGTTCTTGGGGCAAATAAAACTGTCTTCCTGGAGATCACCACCTACCTCCTGTCATTTATAAGTCAAGTCTTGGTCCCTCTCTATCATGGGAAAATCCCTCCTGTCCTTTGGAAAATGGATGAAACGGTGGCAAGAGTAGCTGTGGGCCCCCAATTCTCGTGAATCATAGAAACAGGACTTTCTACTCTTCTTCTAAATGATGCCCACCCAGAGTCAAATGCCATAAGAAACGGGGCCTGTTGGTTCTAGCATGTATACTCATTTGGAAATCTTACCCAGCCCTGGGTCACCCATCTACTTCTGTCTTTCTTTCCAGAGATAGTGGTCCGTGGAGGGTTATCCGCTGGCTGGGGTTCTCTCTGGGAACTTGAGTTGTAGGTGGCTGTGAATAACCTGATCATGAAACTGGTCCCACGTTCCTCAGAGGTTAACCCATTTCGCTCTCATGAACGTGCTGCGGAGATAGAGTATGTTGTCCCCATTTTGTCGATGGAGGGCGGAAACTGGGGTTCTAAAGGGTAGCGTCCTCTCGGAGGGGTACAGTCATAACATGCTGGAGTCAGGATTTGGTTCAAGTCAGCTGGCCTTGAAGGTAGGCTGGTTTCATGCTGCCTGCCCTTCATCCCGGCAGGGATACGCCATTGTAATTGTGAAGTTACACCCATAAGGCCTGAAGGTTGCCCCAGGGGCTGAGTCTACAGCATAAAGTGACCGGTGCCTGAAGGTATCTAATGGAGCCTCCTGTTCCAGAGGAATTCTTTATTGAATAAAGGAAAAGATAGTCTCTTTCTACCCCACCTCAGTCTCGGAGGTGGGGGGGCAGGGAACCACCACCAGAAAAACCAATCAAACGCTACTTTTCCTGTTCAAGAAATTGAATAATCTCTAGAAAGGACTTTGTTCTTTTTATTGCACTGATGTGGAAAGGACATTGATGAGAGGGAGGGGTTGGGGTTCAGGAGGAAGGAAATACACAACTTGGTCCCTGAGTTCTGGCTGCTTCGCCTCAAACCCCAGCACACAGAGGCCACGGGGCAGCCACAATGTTGAAGGTGAAGGACTGATCTGTGTGTTTCATGGGTGAGACCCAGTTAGTTATTTATTGGCCGGCAAAGGGAGACCTGATAACCAGAGTGGCGTAAAATTGTCACGAGATGGTAAACATCCTCTCCCTGGGAGCCCAGCAACGGGACTGAGAAATCAAACAGGGTTGTGTTGAAGGCAGGAAAAGATGGGTCAGTAAAAAAGAGAGGGTCCCCCCTGCCGCCCCACCTCTGCAGAGTGGAGAAGAAACTCTCGCACGTTCCTACAGGTAAGAGAGGGTGCTTTGCAGGGGGGCGGGGACATAGAAATGATGGGGAGCCCTTGGAAATGTGTCATGGGAGGAGGACAGAAACTGGGACCGTCCTGTAGCTGATCGCCAGATGCCAGGTACAGAAAAATGCACAATAAATATCTATTAGAGGAAAGAATGACTGGGGAAGTGGGAGGCGAGGGAGAAGGTGGGGGCCATGAAAGCTCGAGAGCTGTCTGTCTGAGCTGGAATCTGGGCTTCCCTGGGTCGTAACTATGAGACTCGGGGTGAGTTACTGGACTCTGCTGGCCTCAGTTTGCTTGTCTGTACAATGGGTAGTATGCTAAGAGCTCCCACCTCCATGGGTGGATATGAGGGCTAATAAGAAAATGGGGTACATTGTAAGCACTCCATAAATGTCCCCTCGAATTCCATCTCTTCTCCTGTTTCTCTTCTTCCTCTGATAGCAATGATGTTGATGATGATAATAATCAAAGTTCAGAGAGACCGAGGCTTGAATCCCGTTCTGTCCCTGTTTGGCTGTGTGATCTTGGGCAAATTACTTAACCTCTCTGGGCCTCACTGTAGTCATAAGGTGGGGATAACATATCCTCTCCATGAGGTTGCTTGAGGAGTCCACTGCTACTGCATGGGAAAGGCATAGCACAGTGCCTGCAGCTCGAGTAAATGCTGAGTAAATGGTGCTGCCTTTATGCTTATTATTGTTACTATCCCAGGATGCAGGGTCAGGTTCAAGGTTTAAACATCTTTCCTAAAAGTCAGTGAATCACTCCATGTTTGCCATGAGTTCCCAGAATAGAGTGGTAGGAGATGGGATGATCTCACAACTTAGGTTATTTCCCTGCCACCCAGAGATAAACCCCAGCCGAGGAAATGCTAATCATTAGGTAGGGTCATTCCTAGGTCATTCCTTATTGGTGGGGAAAGAAAGGAGGGACCTGGTGAGATTTCTGTAGCTTTACAAATGCCAGAACGGACAAGCTCCGTTTCCTATAGCATTTGAATCTGGGTGGGTATCATTTAGAAGAAGAGAAGAAAGTCCTAGTAGATGTCTTGAAAACTTAGTCAATTCCTTGGTGAAGGGAAAACACGAGGAAGAAGGAGACATAAGCATTTTATTCGGTTTAGATTTTTCCGCTCCTGTTCATAGCTTTGCTGCTGATCCCTCGCACACACACAGACCTTATTTTCTGAAGGGTCCAAACCTAGAGCTGTGAATGTGCTGGGGTCGGAGGCGGAAACACAGAAACACACTCTGGAAAACTCCGGTGGGGCATGCACCAACAAATGTTTAGTTAGGGGAGGGTTTTGTTAAACAAGTTGCTTAGAGGTTTTGCCCTCGCATGCTTTGAAGAAACTGTTTACACAGTTTCTGTATTTCCTTGTTTTAAACATTACACATTGCAGATAAAGGGTTCTAAAGCATTTGTTTGTAGTGGCATCAAGGATGACAGCCGGAGTAATGTTAAGCTAACCTGATAAGCCCAGAAAGAACAAGGAAAGGCCTTGCAAGCAAATAAAATCAACGTCTCTGCTGAAATGTGGGTGTGTTTGAGCCTCAGATGGCCTGGTGCCTGGACTACCTCTGGGGGATGTGTGGTGGCTTTCACCCTTTGTGTTGGACTTATTTTTCCAAGATCAGGAGAAAGGCATAGAAGCTTCCAGAACTGTGACTATGAAAACTTGGTTGAATATGAGATGCCTGTGAATGAGCCATTTCTTCTTTTGAAGTTCTTTTTCCTTCTCAGGAATTCTTAGAAGCACAAACTTGATATTTTGTGCATGTGTGTGTGTGTGTTGGGGGGAGGAGGTGAGTATGCAATTATAATATTGTATAACACCCATTGTTCCCCAAAATTTAGTTGTTTGTGTTCCACCTTCATAATTTTTGCCCTGTTTCTTACCATGCATACTAATATTTATTCTTTTTACCTAATAGATTTGTTTTAAAAGGAAACATGTCGTTATTGTATATGGGAAACTCACATCACTTGTTTATAAATATAGGTGACCATTTATGAGGTTTGACAATTAAGGTCGCAAACAGTGTTGCAAAACTTTTTTGATATTAAAGGGATTATTCATTATGAATTTGTACCAATGGACAAACAGTGAACCAAGTTTACTTTTTGGAAGTGCTGAAAAGGCTGCGTGAAAAAGTTAGACAACCAGAACTTTTCGCCAACAATTCATGGCTCTTGCATCACGACAGTGCACCAGCTCACACGGCACTGTCTGTGAGGGAGTTTTTAGCCAGGAAACAAATCACTGTATTGGAACACCCTCCCTACTCACCTGATCTGGCCCCCAGTGACTTCTTTCTTTACCCAAAGATAAAGGAAATATTGAAAGGAAGACATTTGGATGACATTCAGGACATGCAGGGTAAAATACGACGACAGCCCTGATGGCCATTCCAGAAAAAGAGTTCCAAAATGGCTTTGAAGGGTGGACTGGGCTCTGGCATCAGTGCATAGCTTCCCAAGGGGAGCACTTTGAAGTTCACGGCACATGAAAATAATGACATTTAAATTTTGGTGTCCAGGAATTCATTGTCTGGGTCTGTCAGCTGTCTTTGTCCAGGGCAGCAGCATTGAGGGCTGCTGATTTTTAAATTTTCTTTTATTGCTGTGATGAATATCATGTTCAGCATTTCAATCATGGTTTTACTGTGCTCGTTTCGAAGCTTTAAGTAAATGGCACAGTTTACAAACTCAGTACACTTTGTGGCTGATTTTGATTTATTTTAAAGCCTCCATAGCTTGTTTGGAGAGTGGGGGAAAAAAAGCATTCACACAGTCCCCTTATTCCAGCGTTTTCCCTCCCTCTTTCCCCCATCATGCTCTAGTGTTTTACTCTTTTTAAAAACTGGTTTTCATTTTTAAATGACTGTGGTGTGGAAAAATTCTTGTCTCCTTTTTTCCCATCTTTACTACTTTTATAATTGTGGTCAAATACACGTAAAGTTAAATTTACTGTCTTAACCATTTTTACGTGTACAGTTCGGTAGTGTCAAGTAGATTCACATTGTTATGCACCCAATCCCCAGAACGTTTTTATCTGCAAAACATCTTGCAAAAACTTAAACAACTAACAACACCCTACTTTCTGTTTCTATGAGTTTGTGCTAGTTAACGCTTATAACTGGAGTCATACAGTATATTTGTCTTTTTCTGACTGGCTTATTTTACTTAACACAATATCCTGAAGGTTCCTTCATGTTTTAGCACGTCAGAATTTCCTTTTTACAGCTGAATAATATTCCATTGTTTATTCATTGATCTGTGGATGAACACGTGTATTGCTTCCATTTTGGGGCTCTTGTGAATAATGCTGTTATGAATATGGGTAGACATATATCTCTTTGAGGCCCTGATTTTGAGTCTTTGGGATATATACCCAGAAGTGACATTGCTGAATCACGTGGTAATTCTATTTTTAATGTTTTGAGGACCCACCATGCTGTTTTGCATAGTTGCTGCACTATTTTACATTCCCACCTACAGTGCACAAGGGTTGCAATTTGTCCACATCTTTACCAACACTTGTTATTTTCTGTTTTGATTTTTTTTTTGATAGTGGACATCCTAATGGATATGAGGTGATACCTCATTGTGGTTTTGATTTGCATTTATTATTATTATTTTTTAGCTGACCCATCCTGCCACTTGTTGGCAGCTCAGCTCCGGCGCAGCTCACTGGCCCACGTGGGAATCAAACCGGTGACCCTGTTGCTCAGAGCTCATGCTCTTAACCAACTGAGCTACTCGGCCGGCCCTTAAAATTTTAGTGTAGTCCAATTTGTCTGTTTTTACTTTTGCTGCCTCTGCTTTTGATGTCACATCTGAGAAATCACTGCCAAATCCAATGTCATAAATCTTTCCCGCTCTTTTCTCCTAAGAGTTTTATAGTTTTAGGTCTTACTTTTAGATCTTTGATCCATTTTGAGTTAATTTTTATATATAGTGTAAGGTAAGAGACCAGCTCCATTCTTTTGTATGCGGTTATCCAGTTTTCCCAACGTAATTTGTTGAAAAGACTGTCCTTTCCCCACTGAATGGTTTTGGCACCTTTGTCGAAAATCACTTGATTCTCCTTAAAAGGGCTTATTTCTGGGCTCTCTGTTCTGTTCCCTTAGTTTATGCATCTGTCTTTATGCCAATTATTGCTTCCTTTTACTCAGCTTTGTTAATTGTTTTCCAAGAAGGCTTCTTTTTCCCTGGGTCACAATTGTGCTGTTTTTATTTTCTATCTTTCATAAGGGGAAAAAGCTCTTCCCCTATTTTCCTTTCTCCTTGAGCAATCTTCACTGATTGTTCAAAAAGTATAAGTAATTAAATACGTAAATTAAAAAGTGAAGATGGCGGTCTACATGGGAGATGGTTGAGTGTAAATAAGAAACTTGTGTTAAAATCCGTGTCCCGGATTAACTACCTTTGCAAAGCTACCAAACCCTTCTAAGCCTCAGTTTCCTCATCCATATAACGGGAGCGCGAAGAGTCCCTCGCGCTGAATCGAGTGAAGTTTAAGGGGGAGCTCTGCTCAATGGCTGGCTCAGAATAGGCAGTGGAAGTTATGCCTCAGAAGTACACGCTTTCTCCCTTTGTCCATTTCACTTCCTGACTTAGATTTCACCTTCACCCAAAATGCCCACTCCTTTCTCTTTAACAAGAAAGTCTCCCCTCTGCTTCCCTCCCTTTTCCTTTTTCTCCTATAAAGTTTTCTTTCCGTCATTGACTTGGGAGAGTTGGAAACGCCCTTTTATTGGGTTGTCGGAAAAGTCATGACGCATTTTTGCAACGAAAAACAGAAGACACACATCATGACTTTTCCAACAACCCAATAGATCTCCCATGTTAATCGCAGTTTACCTTGGTCATTCTCAAATGCAGACTGGGGGATGGGAGGAGTACTGATATTGTGCTCAGAAGACATTTGGCAATGCCTGGACATTTCCGGATGTCTCAACTTCAGGGAGAGGCTACTGGCAGCTGGTAGGCAGAGGCCAGAGCTGCTGCTAAGCATCCTACCATGCCTAGGACGCCCCCACAACAATGGATTATCTGCCCTGAAATGTCAATAGTACTGAGAAGGAGAAAAACCTAGTTTACCTGAGGCGGATCCTGCCCGTCTTGTTTTTCTTTTTCTTTTAAAAATTTTATGGGGGAACAGTGTGTTTTTCCAGGACCCATCAACTCCAAGTCAAGTAGTTGTTTCAATCTCGTTGTGGAGGGTGCAGCTCAGTGGCCCATGTGGGGATCGAATCGGCAACCTTGGTGTTATGAGCCCGCACGCTAACCACCTGAGTTAACTGGTGGCCCCCAGTCTTTTTTTTCTATATTAGCATTTTGCATTTGCCTTTTTGCAAGCTGTCTGTGGCACTTACTGGGTGTAATCCAGAGAAAAGGGACGAAAGATCAATTGGGTGAATATTCCTGGTTGTCCTTCTTAGGTGACAGTGTAAAAATGAATAATAGGCTACTCATCTGTAGCTATTAGAAATTCATACAACCACTGGGGGCCATCTCCAGTGAAGCTGAAAACACGGAAACCAAACAACTTGGCGAAACCCCTTTCAGATCTCCTCCTTGGAGACCTTTTCTCATGTGGGCGCGAGGAAACTCCGATGGGATGCACTCTGATCATTTTAACACTGAAAAGTGGGAAATGGCCTAAGTGTCCCTCTGGATGAGAAGGAGGAAGTACAATGGAGTCTGGTCACAGCGTGGAGCTGTATACAGCCTTTAAGATGGAAACGCTTCTAGGCTGACGTGTGAACTACTGACTTCAGTAACCAGAACTACCAACATGGCTCGATCTCAAAACCAACTTTATGTTAAAAAAAAAATTCAAGTTGCAGATAATATGAAGGGTATGAGATTGCTAGCTATAGGTATCATTTTTAGGCATTCTCACTTAGTGATATTTATATATGTGGCTTCACTAATTTCCCAGGGCTGCTGTAACAAGGCACCGCCGAGCGGGTGGCTTAAACAACTGAAATGTATTGTCTCACAGTTCTGGGGGTTGGAAGTCCGAAAGCAAGGTGTGGGCAGGGGAATGGTCCCTCTGACGCCCGTAGGGGATGCATCCTGACTTCCTCTTCCACGGTGGATGTTCACAGACTCCTCCCTCTGCGTGTGTCTGTGTCCAAATTTCCCTTTTGGATGAGGACATCAGTCGTATTGGTTTAGAGCCCATCCTAATGACCTCATTTTAACTTAATTACCGGTGCAAAGACCCTATAACCAAATAAAGTCACATGATGAGATGCCAGGGGTTAGGACTTCAACGTATCTTTTTCTGGGGGTACGATTCGACCCGTCACAGTGGTCAAAGTATAAACAATATGACCTGGAAAGTCACACACCAAATTCATGACAGTGGTGGTTTTCGGACAGAGAAGAAGGGGGAGGTTGGTGGGAAACTGGACTGGGGAAAGGCATAAGAGAGAGTCAGCTTCCCCAGTATGTTTTATTGGGTCGTCGGAAAAGTCATGACGCATGTTTGCAACAGATGGCACTAATTCATTTTTGGAAGTACTAGAGTCATTCCCATCTATGTTATTGCTATGTCATTTTACAGCTGACAGTTCTAGCTGCATTCTTTAAAAAAATTGAGCGAGGGCTGGCCGAGTGGCGCGTTGGTTAAGAGCTGGCTTGGGACGCCAGAGGGCCCCGGTACGGATCCCACATATGAGGGCCAGTGACACTGCCCTCCACAGCTAAGATGCTGAACAACAGCTCAACCTGGAGCTGGGCTGCCATGAGTCGCCGGAGACGGCATAGGCTGCAGCCCCTGCTGCAGTGGGTTGCCATGGGCTACCGTGTGTAGCCAGCAGCCAGCGTGAGCGGCAGTCCAGAAGCCAGCGACTAATCTGCCTCGACCGGGGAAGAGTGCAATGATGGTGCCAACTTGGGCCAGTGAAGCAACATCTTCCACAACTACACTGAAGAACAAAAGGACAGCAACTTGTCTGTTCCCCTTCCCCCAATTCCCCAGCACTGTTCCCATCCCCCAATTCCCCAATAAAAATCTTTAAAAAAAAATTGAGCAATTTGGTTGAGTTTTGGAGATTTTACAACAAGCTGAAGATGGGAGATCAAACTGTGCATTTTTGCCATATTTTGCTGTTTTACTTCCATAAAGAGAAGAACGTGCGTCAAGCTTGTGAAAAGTTGCATAAAGTTTATGGTGACAATGGTCTACAAGAACATCAGTGCCAACAATGGTTCACGAAATTCTGTGCTGATGATTTTTATCTCAACTATGCTCCTCAGTCAGGGAGGCCCACAGAGGTTGATGACGACAAAATAAAGACATTCACCAAGTCAAACCCATGTTACACAACACGAGAGATTGCAGAAACATTGAACATCCATCATTCAAGTGTTCACGACCACCTGAAGAAGCTGGGATATACTTAAGCAAACTCGATATTTGAGTTCCGCATGAACTCAAAGAAGTTCATTTGACGACACATATAAACATCTGCAATATGCTCATTAAACATGAGGAATATGATCCTTTTTAGAAGCAACTGATAACTGGCGATGAGAAGTGGATTGTTGACAACAATGTGGTGTGCGAACGGTCTTGGTCCCAACGTGATGATTCGCCTCAAACGACATCGAAAGCAGACATTCATCAGAGGCAGGTTATGCTCTCAGTGTGGTGGGATTTTAAAGGTGTGTTTTTTGAGCTCCTACCAAGGAACCAAACAATCAATCGAATGTGTACTGTCGGCAGTTGGACAGTTTGAACGAATCCATCATCCAGAAACGCCCAGAGCTTGTTAATTGTAAAGGAGTTGTGTTCCATCGCGACAATGTGAGACCACACACAAGTTTGATCACCCGTCAAAAATTATTGGAGCTTGGATGGGATGTGTTTCCACACCCACCATACTGGCCTGACCTTGTGCCATCAGACTTCCACTTGTTTCGCTCTCTTCAAAACTCCTTGCGTGGTATGACGTTCAATTCAGACGAGGCTGTAAATCAGCACCTTGTTCAGTTTTTTGCAAATAAAGCCAGGTCCTTCTATGAACGAGGGATTATGAAGCTCACTGAAAGATGGCAAAAGGTTATCGAACAAAACGGGCAATATATCATTGATTGATCTTTTTTCTTTATATAAATAAATGACCTTTGAAAAAGAGAGACAAAATACATCACGACTTTTCCAACAATCCAATATTTCCTTGATGAAATAAACACAGATCTGGAATTAACATGAACAAGCTTAGTATTTGCTAATATCTGCTCTTTTATTCTCTGTGTTTTACTGTAGTACAGATTTTTTAAGTGCTTAAGGAAAACAAGTAGGCACTAGAGCCAGTTTCTCACTTGTTTATGCACCTGACTGAGCTGTAGAGTATGAGATAAACTTTTATAGACGTCAAAGTCCCCTGTTTTCTCATTTTCAGGGCGTGTGGCTCTACCTACATTCAGCAACTTGGAAACTTCAGACTTCACACAGTGTCAGAGATTGTAGCCTCCCGTAATCGCCTGCAGCCCAGCTCCTATCAAAAGCCAGCCTGAGAGAATTCCCAAGCACATCTGACACAGGTAACTCCCAACAGCCTCTACAGACCAAGCTGGTTTACGCAGTTTGTGTCCGTTTGGGACAAAGAGAGAAAATTACGGAGGCAGAAGTACGTTTTTATGAAGTGAAACCCAGTCAATTAAATGGCCTTTTTCCTTTTAAGATTGGAACCCTCTTTTTTTCCTAAATTTCCATCAAATGTTTTATGAAACAACAATGATAACAGGTGGTGTTAGCTGCCGTTGCTTTTAATGTCCTCATTTAGCAAAACAAAATGTTTCCCCTCCCCAAAATTAAAAAAAAATTTTGATGGGTCTATTTGAAATCAAAAGGATGGTGACTCATTGGAACTAGTTAAGAATTTCTGTAGAATCACTTTGATAATTTTGACTGTGGGGGCCATAAACGTGCATGTATATATACTGTATATAATTTATAGGACTCTAGCATAAGAAACGTTGATTCCCTTTAGCTTGAAAGCTTTCCCTTGCCACATATTGGCATGACAAACTGCACCCCTTTAGAAAAGAAAAGGTACGCCTGAAATTGATTTGTGGCCTCTGAATTTGCAAATGCAGGGGTGTGGTCCTGCATTTGATGGTGATAGATGTTTGATAAGCTCCTGGTTTCTGTGTTCATGTCTTCCGGGTCATAAATGACCTCAGGTAGCAAAACTAACCTTTGCACAGTTCACGACTGCATGGCCATGATATTCTAGCCTGGGCCAGGGGACAGGAGATGGGAAAAAGAGGTTAGAGAGAGGAACCATGATCAACCATCTCCTGCTGGCACATGGAGATCGAAAGCATTCTTTTTTTGGGGGGGTGTGGGGTGGGGGTGGTTCTCGGACCCATCAGCTCCAAGTCAAGTAGTTGTCTTCAACCTAGTTGTGGAGGGCGCAGCTCAGCAGCCCATGTAAGGATCGAACCAGCAACCTTGATTTATGAGTGCTGCGCTGTAACCACCTGAGCTAACTGGCCGTCCCAGATCAAAAGCATTCTTTTTTGATAACTTCATAATATTATATTATGCAGATGTGCTGTCACTAATTTGGCCCATCCCCTGTGGATGAGTTTTTGGATTGTTTCCAGTTTTTTGTCATGACACAGAAAGCTTGGTCTGACAACCCTTAATGACTCCATGTCCCTGTATTTTATAAGGTCACTTTGGCCGGCTGCAGAACAGAGCTTGTGGGTGGCTTGTCGTGGCTTATGTTGGCTTAAATCTGGCCAAACCGAGAGGCAGCAGAGATCCAGATAAATAGTTTCAATGTGACCCCGCCACGGTGATAAAATATACAGTAAGTCCTCACTTAATGTCGTGGGTAGGTTCTGCCACTTTTTAGTGAAAAAGTGTATAACGAAACCAATTTTGCCACAAGCTAATTGCTATGAGCAAGAGTTAAGTTCCGACAGCATCTCATCAACATTATGATGAAACAACATTGAGCAAAACGATGTTATTCAGGGACCTGCTGTAATTTAATCTGGAACATTCCTGGAATGACAAATGCAAGATTGTTAGGATTACCCATTCAAACCAGGAGCCTTTCAAGATCAAACAGGGAGTCCACGATTAACAGACTTAGAAGGCATACAATTGCTTGACAATGTGACTGGAAGCCCCCGGAAACAGTGAAGTAGGAACCCCTTAAAATGGGGTGTCCACAGGAGGACCCAGAATAGATGATTCAATGGCCCTCATCAGTAAGGTGTGAGAGCAATAACATTTGGAGAGAAAAAAAGCACAGTATTCTCTCTGTGCTTTTTCCAGGCACAAAACAAATTATTCCTCTGAAAGGGCAGGATGTTTGTTCCTCTGAGAGTTAACCGGAGGCTTTGAGTAAGGTTTGCAGAAGGCCACACCCACTTCATTTGACCATTAATCCAAGACTATTTCCTTACAGCTACTTCCTCCTCCGCCTTCTTCCCCAATCCTTTTCTGAGGGCTCCACTTCCTGTTGGTTTAGGAATTTGTCCCAGGGCAGGTGACAGTGGTTGGAGCACTGTTTGTGTCTGGACTGTGACAAAGGTGCAGTATGCAAGCCCCTGTCAAATGACATCGGTGGGACAGAGACCTGAGCCAACAAACTTGAAACTAATTGTTGGCTGATCGTATATAACATCTGTCTGTCCATCCATCCATCCATCCATCCACCAACCTAATTCCTTCTTATCTATCATCTGTCTTTGTATCTACCTACATATGTGTGTGCTATGTGAATATATATGTGAAAAAATACACATGTTAATACCGTATTTGCCGGCGTATAAGATGACTGGGCGTATAAGACGACCCCCTAACATTTCCACTCAAAATACAGAGTTTGTTATATACTCGCCGTATAAGACTACCCCCTCTTCCGCACACCTTCCACACACCAAATAAAAGGTAAAACAATATCAGATTTGATTTCAACATTTATATTTATATTCAAATGCTTATGACATGCAGGAAAACTGTCACAAGGCTGTATGTAATCAAACATATACATAAATCGCGATTTGCGATTTTGCGCTATCATACTGGGTGTATGGTCGGCTGTGTGCGATTTTGTGAGTGTGGTAAAATCGCATAACAGCAAAATCGCACACAGCCGAGCATACACCCAGCAGCGCTGCTGATGCCTGAACGGTATGTGGAATGAAGTGGGCGGGCATCGGGAGGCCACTATGGCATGGGGCAAGCACTATGGGCAGTCTATCTGAAGTGTACCTGGCGTATAAGACGACCCCCCACTTGGAGGCATATTTTTCAGGGCCAAAAAATCGTCTTATACGCCGGCAAATACGGTACATTTGTCAAAGAGTCTAAGCAAAGATGACCTTATATCAGTCAGGTGAAGCCAAGCTCTGCTGCATCGAGAAACAAACGTGAAATCTCAATGGCTTAACACGTAAGCGTTTATTTCTTGCTCGTGAACAGCTTTGGTGGGTTGGTGGAAGCAGGCATGGGCTGTGCTCCATTTAGTCCTGCAGGAACTCAGGCTGGTGAATGGGACCCCATCTGAAATGTCACTGTTGCCTTGGCAGGGAAACGGGGAGCCAGAGGGTGTGTTTGGGCTCTTAAATGCTTTGACTTAGAAGTGTCAGAGTCACTTATGCTCACAGCCCATTGGCCAGAAAGAGCCGTATGCCACTGCCTGACTGCAGGGAGGCTGCTCTTCTCGCAGTGACCTGAGGGCGCCTCCACTGTCTCCTCCCCACTCTGCTCCTTCTGCTCACCCTGGAGTTTCTAGAGCTTCTGAGCTCTTTGCTGGGGACCCTGAGCCCTGGCTTTATGATGTGGTTTTCCAATCCCCTTGGAAAGGTTCTCTTCCTGGGAAGAGGTGCAGCGCTCGCAAAAAAACTGGCGATCTTCCTCTTTTTCACCAGCAGTGAGCATGAGATAACCTGCCATGATTCCCTTTCAGTCTGAGCGAATAAGCTCACAGCAAAACTTCGTTACAGCCACTGTGTCCACCGAGGAATTTCGTAGAATTGCTCCTTCCTCTACATGATTATAAAACATTTCCTATTTCTTTATCGTGTCCTGGTGGAGAGCATGACTTTTCTTGTCCGCCAACTCCCTATCCCTTTTGGACGGTTCCAGTGTTGACATTACACATCAATTAAAATAGTGGTAATAAAATAGCTGCCATTCCTTGAATGTCCCCTTAGTGCCAACTGCTTTATGTGCCTTTTATCGTTCATTCCTTATGACAACCCTGTGAGGTATTGTTGTCAGCATTGGATGGGTGAAGAAACAGACTCAGAGAGGTTAAGTGGCTTGCCCAAGTCTACACAGCCAGCAATGGAAACTCAACCAGTCACACCCAATGTCAAGGGCTGGGTCCCTATCTCCTTTCATTTCACAGCATCACATAGACAACCCAATTTAGGTAATCCGTCCTCCCCCTGGCTTTTGTTTTCATCAATTCAGATCTTCTATAATGCATATAAAAGAAAATTGGAAATGTTTGTGAGCCACAATCCTTCATTTAAAAAAACAAACAAACTAGTATAATGGCCTCTTCGGGGAGTAGAAGATTTTGATATTATCGCTTCTGGTGTAGGTCTTTTTAATTTTCTTTTTTAAATTAAGGAGTAATATTTTTACAAAGGTGTGCCTAACTCTTAAGTGTACTCGATGAATTTTCACACACACACACACACACACACACACACACACACACACACCCAGGTCACCACCACATAGATCAAGATACAGAACGGCTCCAGCACCCCAGAAGCTTCCTCCCATCATTTTCCATCTCCTCCCTTCCCAGGGGAATCGCTATTCTGACGTATGTCACCAGTTCCTAGTTTGCCTGTTCTTACACTTTGTATAAATATGACACAGTGTGTGCTCTTTTGTAACTGGTTCTTTGACTCCACATTACATCTGTGAGATGCATCCATGTTGTTGCCTGTGGCCGTTCCGTCTTCGCTCCTGCCATGTCGTATTTCGTCTTGTGAACGTGCCATGATTTATTTCTTCTATTGTTGAATGACATTTGGGGTGTTTCCAATTTCTGACATCTATGAACAAAAAAAGGCTCTATGGACACTCTTGATATCCATCCTATCGGTGGATATATTCATTTCTTTGGGGCTGGTGTTACTGTACCTGCTTTTAATTTCTTGAATTTAGTAGACGTATTTGGCTTGTTAGATGTGACGGCTCGGGGATTTTAGCCCATGGAAGTCCTAGACCATAAATATATTGACATCTAGTCTTACAATGTAAGTAAATGAATGGGTTGAATTTCCATCTTATGAAAAATAATTAGGGATAAAGCATAGCATTTAGTCTTCAGAGCTCTCAGTTTTTGTAGCTGTCTGTTTGCATATTAGTCAGAATTCTCTTTAATTTGCAAATTATAGAAGCCCAATTCAAACTAGCTTAAGTCAAAGGGGGAATGTAATGACTCAGGTATCCTGTGGTCAGCTGCCTTTCGGTATGGCTGGATTCAGGTGCTTAAATAATGTCATCAGCATTTGATCCCATTTCTGTCATCTCTTGGCTCTGCTCTCTTCCCTGTTGGCACCAGAGAGCTTCTCTCTACTCAACATTTCTAACAAAACTCCCAGAACTGAATCTCATTGGCTGTGACTGGCCTATATACCCTGACCCAATCACTGTGACCAGAGAGAAAATAATGCAGATTGGGTCACATGTCCACCCCTGGCTCATATGGACTGAGAGTGGGGGTGTTACTCAAAAGTGTTACCATAAAAGAGAGAAATGGATGCTGGGCAAGGACAAAGTACAGAAAAATGGACTTCTGCTATGCTGAGAAATATGGGGTCGAGTTGGCAAATGGACGTTCTAAGACTACAGGTGATGGCAGAAGGTTAATATTGTTCTTAGCTCTGATTACTCAACAGAAAGTCTAACTGTGTTCGTTTGCATAGAGATCAGCTTGTAAACATTGGCTGAACTTTAAAAATCATCTACTTCTTTCTTTCAAAGGCATCGCCATTCATCTACCTGGAGATATTTTTGTCTTTTATTTTTCTTCCCTCTCGCCCTTCCCATACTGGGTCTGTCCACAAATCCTATTGATTCTTGCTTTAACTTTTCTCCTTCACTTATTGTTTTCTTTGCTGTTCCCACTGACAGTACACCAGCAGTTCCAAGCTGACATTCTGTCACTGGAGCAATCCTAGTGACACAAGAACACATCACCCCGAGTCTCCTCAGGGTCCTGGAAGACTGACTTGGGTTATGTGCCCATTCCTGAATCAAGCTTGTGGCCAGGGGCATGGTGAGCACTGATTGGCCAGGCCTGGGTCATGTGACCATCTTGACCTTGGGAACGCCATCAGCTCTTTCTGAATCACCTGGACCAAGAGTCGGGTGAGGCAGATGTCCAGAGGAAACTCAGGGCATTGATGCCAAAAGAAGGGGAAACGGGTGATAAGCAGGTAAAAACAGATATTCAGCACATTTAGAAATGAAAACTCGCTTACTTCTGATTTGAAAGTATGCTGCGTCTGTAGATGCGAGCTCATGGAACTCAAACAATCATTAGTTTCAAACTGGAAGGGAAGGTAGCAATTGTCTGCTCACCCAAGTCCTCCAGTTACCACTGACCATTCTTCCTTCGGGCACTCATACTAATTTCTGCGTTGAACCCTAGAACCACTAGCAATCAAAATGCTCAGAAAGTCCTTCCTTCTCATCTTTTGGCTCATTGTACCCCTCCCTCTCCATCAAGGGATTGTATTGGTCAGGATATAAATGTGGCCATATGTATCAGAAACCCCCCAAACAGTGGTTTACGTAAGATAGACGTCTCTTTTTTTCTTTACATAAAAGCCCAAGCTGATATGTGAGCACTGGCCTGTGAAGTCACCAGCAACGCAGGTTTCTTCCCTCCCTTTAGCAGCACAACCTGGATAGTGCTTCTATCGCTTCTGCTCACACCCCCACTGACCACGCTCATGGCCACACCTAGGTGCCCAGGAGGCTGGGAAACAGAAACTTTACTCTGGATAGCTTTGTGCCCAACTATGCAATAGAGGAAGACAGATACTGGAAGAGAACCAGCAACCTCTGCGGGGCAGAAAGGGCAAAAAAAAAAACTGACCTTTCCTTTCCTTTTGGTTTTTCAGATTAAAACAAAGATCCCTGAGTAACTGCAGATGCAGGGACATTTGAAGCCGCCAGCGTAAAGAATCCGTACCAGCATGTCTGCCTACTACAGGAATAACAAGTACGAGGAATATCCTGATGACCCTGGCTATTCAGGGCCTCGGAACCACGTGCAGGGGTATTTGAAAACTCAGGGTCACCCAGAGTCTCCGGGTCCTCTGCACAACTCCGATTACTCTCAAACCAGGAGCAACCCATACTCTGCAGACTCCGGAAGTGCAGACTATCCCGGGTCTGTAGCAAGACCAGGTTATCCTGGGTCTTGGAGTGACCCAGACTACCCTGGCACCAGGAGCAACCCATACTCTGCAGACTCCAGAAGTGCAGACTATCCTGGGTCTCCAGCAGAGCCGGATTATCCTGGATCTCGGAGTAACCCAGACTACCGTGGCACTAGGAGCAGCCTGTACTCTGCAGGCTCCAGAAGACGTGCAGACCATCCTGGATCTCCAGCAGAGCCGGATTATCCTAGACCTTGGAGCAACCCATACCATCCAGGCTCATCCAGAGAGCCAGACGACTCTGAACCTCGACGAAATCCTGACTTCGCAGGTTCCAGAAGCAGTGGACACTATGGAGGTGCCAGGGCACATCCTGATTATCTTGGCTCCTTGGAAGAACCCGACTACCCTGGAGCTCAGGGAAGCTCTAACCACCCCAGCCCCAGACACACTTCCAACCGCCCAGGCTCCAAAAGGAATCCAGAATATGCTGCTTCCAGAATCAACCCACACACAGACTTTCTGAGTGAGCCTGATTATCCGGGTGCTGAGAATCAACCTAACTCTTCCAACTTTTTGGGGGAACCAGACTATCCCAGTGCCGAGGTCTATCAGCACTCTCCAAACTTTTGGGGGGAGCCTGATTACCCAAATGCTGAGGATGGTCGAGATTATGGCTCTTCGAAGACTCCAAAAATGACCAGGGAGTAAGTGCAGGCATCTCCCTCCACTGGGGTGGGGGCTGAGGACTAAATCATCAAGTCAGTGGACCTTGGTTGGCATTATTTGGGTTAGGGACAGGGACGATGGTTTCAGTGACCTGACGTGGTGGTGAAACTTGCATATCTACCTGTAGATCTCACCTGTAAACCTCACGGGCCATCGACTGTCAGTCTGAACCTTCAAGCCCTTCCCTAAATGTAATCTTTAATCACCGCCTGCTTGGGTAACATTCTCCCTAACCCCTTGCCCCTTCCTTTCCAATCCCTGCAAGACATTTAGAACCCAGTGTTTCGACCCTGCTGCTTTGCCAGTGAGGGTAGGGTTAAGTCTTGATAGTTAAGAACACAAACATTTTAACCAGAATGAAATCAACAGGAATACATTGTAATCAAGAAACTCTTTTGAAGCTCTAACTCCATAAGGTCAATTTAATTCTTCTTCTTCATTTTTTTTTTAATGGCTGAGCCATAAAAAAAATCTTTAATCATCCCTTAATTTTTGGTCAACGACAAATTTTACAAGGTGCAGTTCTGGACATTGACAACGCTAGTTTGGGTGACTTAGTTTGACTAAATCTTTTTTTTTCTGGGTTAAATTTTTTCAATGTACATGTTGCCAACAAGATGCGATTCTTCAGTCAGGTTTTTAAAAAATCAATGACAAATTTTACCATGTGACATTTTGACCAATATGAGTCTCATTTTGTGTGTACTACTTCTACTCAGTGATATTTATGAAATCAACCCAAACGAATGGAATTCCTTGCATTTATCTCCAGGAACAAGATTATGGGATTGGGGTGTGTAGCAGGGTCAAAATGTCTTCAGGTCCTAAATAGTAGGATTAATAGGACCAGGTCCTTGTCTTGTGCCCTCTGCCTGATTCATCATTCCAAAATACACCTCTGACCCTGCCACTCCTTACACGGGTTCCCATAACCTTTGGAGTAAAGGCCGGTGTGCACTGGTTCACCTCTGAGAACGTTTAAGAATGAGGACGCACTGGGCAAATCATAAGATGCCAGCCAAAGACCAGTCTGACTTGACCCCCTTTCACCTCTTGCTGTCCCCTCCCTACCTCAACCCTATACTCGAGGTCAGTGGTTCTTAACCTTGGCCGCCCCTTAATTACCTGATCACCTGGGGAGCTTTAAAAAGAGTACAGTTTCCGGGGCCCAACTTTCAGATCTTCTGATTTAATTGTCTGGGGTGGGGCCTGGGAATTGGTATATACATAAACCTGAGAACCATTGCTCTGGTTTAGTTGATTTCATAGCGTTCCCTTCACATATTCATCACTTTCTGGTCTCATGCCTTTCTGCTGTTCTTCATCCTTGGAATACCCTCCTCCTAGCTCTTTCTGTGTGAATTTATCTTTCCAATTCCAGCTCGGATGTCTCTTCCATGGAGATTTTCCCTCAAACCCCCAACCAGAATTCTTCCGTCCTGCCTCTGAGCTACATGGACCTATCTTCTGATACTCATCAGTTGCTCCTTGTATTATAGTTGCTTATGGTTGCGTCTAAGAAGCTCTACCAGATTGTAATGGCAGTTTCTTGAGGGTGGACACCCATGCCTTTATTTTTATGTCCTCACCCCCTGGCCCATGCCTAATACATGACTGGTATTCAGTTGGCGTTTGCAGAATGGATGGGTGGATGGATGGGTGGGTGGGTGAATGGATGGATGGATGGATGGATGGATGGATGGATGGATGGATGGATGGATGGATGGATGGTGGATGGGTGACTGTCCTTACCATGCTCCTGGATGGATATTAATGCATCTTTTTGGGATTTCAGGGTGCTCAGCAGAACATCTTCAATCCAGCCCTCATTTCATCATGGGCGTGATGGCCCCTTGGGCATCCTTGTGAGAGAGAATGAAGATGACTCGGAAAGCATTGAAATGAAATCCATGGAGATGGAAAATCCGTATGGCTACTCTGTGCCAGGTGCTCCCGCCACTGGCTATGGTAAGCCTTTGTTCAGATGAGGCTCATCTCCTGGGAAGAAAGTAAAATTCAGTGGACGTAGCGGAGCAATCATGAAAGAGTTACAGCACTAGAAGAATTGGTTTATCCTCCACTCATCAAACACCCACCTTACAGGGCTGGGAACTCAATGTCTAGAGCAGAAGCAGTCTCATCAATTATCAGTACAGGCCAGGTAGGGTTGTGGAAAGACCTGTGCTTACTCCAGGTGGCCAATGATCAGATTCGATGCACTATGGGTTTGTGGAAATGTGGCCTCGGTGTGGCCAGAGCCCCGGAGTTTCTAAAGGAGAGAGAAATCTGGGTTTTTAGGTGAATTCCCTAGATTTTAACATGCTCCGAAACAATCATAAAAAAGTAAAAGCACTGAACCTGGCTAACAAAATTCCTGATGGGCTCAATTCAGTGTGTGTGCTGCCAGTGGCCTGCATCTGTGTAGCACATCCTAAGGTGTCCAGACAGTCAGCACCTGTGTGTCAGAGCCTAACTGGGGAAAAGGGAAGGAGGAGGTAGCTCTGTCCTCGAGGTACTTAAAGCCCGAGTGTGTAGGGAACACTGGCACATTAAGACAAAGCAAATCAGCAAGCAGACTCTTACTATGTGAAAAATCACATCGTGTTCAGCATCTGCTGTGGGTCGAGGTTTAGCTCTGGGAGGCCAAGGAAATTCTAGTGGTTCGGATCCTCCTGCAGGAAAAAGGGACTTGTTGCTGGTAGAGGGAGCCAGTGTATTACACACACGTCAACATTATAGGAATTCAGAGCCAGTGGGGGTCAGAACAGGGTGGGTGTTCAGCCAAGAGCAGAAGGAGGGACCCAAGTGCTGATCTGTGCAGATGCATGATTGCTCAGCCCTGAGGGGGCAGGTGGGGGAAGGTTGAAACAGGCAGAGGAGGGGTGGGATGTATTGCCCAGCACTAAGGAAAACCACTGACTGTTACAGATTTGCGTAAAAAATATTGATTCAGGCTAGTCCAAACCTTGTGCTGTGCATTCTCAGTGAGGCAAAATCAATCGCAAGGGGTGAACATGTATTCTTGAAAGGCCAGAAAAGGTCTTTCTTTTATATATATATATACAAAGCACAGATATACACACAGATACACACACAGTACATGAAGAGATATTACAGTCTATCTGTGGTATTAATATTGCATGGGGCGGGGGAGAGCACGTTGAGGAAGACATGTCTAAAAAAACTCCTTAGGGGGCCAATGATGAAAAATAAAATACTATCTCTGTTTTAGAGAGTAAGATATTGAAGCTCAGAGAGGTTAAGCAACAGGCCCAAGGACACACAGCTACCGTGTTTCCCCGAACATAAGACCAGGTCTTCTATTAATTTTTGCTCCAACAATCTACATTTATTCATGTACAAAAATCTGCATTTGTTCAAACAGTCATGTCTGGCTGACAATCTTAACTGGGGCTTATGTTTGGGGTAGAGCTTATGCTATGAGCATCCTGAAAAATCATGCTAGGGCTTATTTTCCAGGTAGGTCTTATTTTCGGAAAAACGGGAGTAAGTAGCAAATCTGGGAATTGATCTCTGCCAAGAAGTTCCAGAACTTGCTACCATGTAGTTTTGTGCACGTCACCATCAAAATGTGCTCCATATTCTTTGTTGTGGACTTTGGCCTTTAATATTTACCATGGGTTGAATAAAAATGTATTGAAATGTGACACTGCCATGCAGGTGCTGAGATTGGACTCTGTCCCTAAGGAAATCATGCTATGTTTCAAGTTCGTTCAGACATCATCATCAAATGCTGGAGATGGAAGGAACCCCTATAACTATCTAGACAACTTTTTTGTGTTTTTTTTTGCTTCTTTTTAAGATTTTAGGGAATTGGGGGAGGGGAACAGCGCTGGGGAATCGGGGGAAGGGGAACAGACAAGTTGCTGTCCTTTTGTTCTTCAGTCTAGTTGTGGAAGATGTTTCATTGGCCCATGTTGGTATTATCATTACGCTCTTCCCGGGTGAGGCAGATCGGTCACCAACCTCTGGAGGGCTGCTCACGGTGGCTCTTGGCCTCTCACGCTGGCTGCCGGCCACTCACAGTAGCCTATGGCAGCCCACTGCAGCAGGGGCTGCAGCCTATGCCGTTGCCTCACGGCAGCCCAGCTCCAGGTTAAGCTGTTGTTCAGCATCTTAGCTGTGGAGGGCAGTGTCACTGGCCCTCATGTGGGATCCGAACCAGGGCCCTGCTGCTCAGAGCTGGTGTCCCAAGCCAACTCTTAACCAATGTGCCACTCGGCTGGCCCTTTTGCTTCATTTTTAAAAAATTTAAGAACTAATTTTTTAGAGCCATTTTAGGTTCACAGTAAAATGGAAATTTCCCATATACCCCCAGTCCCCATATGCACAGCCTCCCCCGTTATCAACATCCCCACCAAAGTAGTACTTTTGTTACAGTCAATGAACCCACATTGACAGGACATTGTCACCCAAAGCCCACAGTTTACCTCAGCATTCACGCTCAGTGGCCTCCATTCTGTGGGTTTGGAAATGTATAATGACATGTATCCATCAAATATGGTGTCGTACAGAATATTTTCACTACCCCCCAAAATCCTTGGTACACTGCCTGTTTGTCCTTTCCCCTGACAAGTATTTTTCAAACTCTTGAGTTGTAGCCCATTATTAACAAGTCGTGAAATTAATTTTTTGAAATGAAACCGAGAAGAATGGAAAAGGATAAGACTATATCAGAGTGCTGTTTCTGTAACCAAGCAAAGGATTGTTTTTGTGAAACTTGGTTTTTAGTTACATATGTGTAGGTATGCGCTTAACAGCTGTTTTTCACTATGGCCTCTAGTCAAATGAAAACCGTCAGTTGAGGCTGTTTGTACTTAACAGCATTGTTTTTCTATTTGTGCCCCATGTTCTACCCAAGTGCTTAGTCGTTAGTCTGTTAGAACCTCAAGGTCAAGGTCACAGTCTTTACCGGCCATTATGTGCTCAATAATATCTAACAAGGTGGGATGAATGGCAGCATTTCCTGTCTCTTTATTCCAGTGAATCCGGCGTATGTGGGTGAAGGTAGCTCCGGCCCAGCTTATGGAAACCCACCGTTTGGGAGCGACTGGCACAAGTCACCCCAAGGTAATTATGGCGTAAATGGGAAGTGAGCGAAAATTTAGTGCTGGAGAAGGAATGTCCCAGGCAAGGCGGACACTGCCACTTCCTCTCAGCCTCAGGTGCGGTAACTGAGCCGTACTTCCTAAGTTTATCAAACGGGATTTTCTTGTAGACGTGTAGAGTTTTTTTTCTTCTCTGGACATCATGGTGTCTTCATCAGGACTCTTGTGGTTGTAAGTGACAGAAACCCAGCTCACACTGGCCCAATGTGATTTTATTGGCTTGTGGGGGAAGGAGAGGATATGGTTGAAACAAAGAATTGAAGATCGAATTACCTTCTGGCACCTGTACGGTGCCTGGCACACAGTAGGTGCTCAGAGATATTTGTCAAATTAATTTGTTGAATGAGTTCCAGGAACCAGAGCCTCTGAGTCTGAAGCCGTGGGCTCAGTGCTACTGGGACTCTGTTTTTCTCCATCTGTGGCTCATCGGTGCTTGACCCAGCTTTCCTTTAAGCTTCTCCTCCTTCATCTCAGCTGCAGTCAGGCTTTTTCCACAGGCCAGGAGCATGACCAATAACAGGCCCAGATACACACCCTCAGCTCAGCAACCCCATTAGCAAGCCTCCCTTTCTCTGTGGATCTGGCAGGCAATGCTGAGGAGACTCTGTCTGGCTGTATTTGGGCCACACGCCTACACATGGACCAGTCATGTTTACATAGGAAAGAAGGCTGAGGTCACATGTCCACCCTGTGGCTGATACATGTGAGGTGACGGTGCGTGGATCAAAATTTTTCTGAGCTGTTATATAATGGTTAGTGACGGTGGAGAAGCAGTCGTGCTGGTGAAAGACAGAGCCTTTGAAATCAGCCAGGAAGCTCGGGAAGGACCACTGTGTCCATGTGGTGATGAAGGTCTGAGCAGAGGCAAAGACTGAGAGATAAAAAGAAAGCAACAGAGGAGAAAGGCCAGGGAATGCTGGGACCTAAAAGCAAATCTATGAACAACAAGAAGTAAACCCATGGTGTCCTCTCCGTGATCATGCCAACTGAGGAGCTCCATCACTTAAAAGTACAGTCTCTCTGGCCCCACTAGCTTATATGATAACCTTTAGCCTCATTCTTAAGTGCCTTCTCGTGAAGGAGTGTCTCTTCCACAAGGGTGGGCTATTACTGCTCGGGAGGGAAAACCTTGGGGACATAATCTCCATTCGGTTCCCCCTGGCACAGAGGGTGGCTGTAACTATTGGGGAAGAGAAATGCCTTTACACTTCATCAGATGGCTCTCTCTAGCCTGCATGAGGTTTGGGGCCTCTGGTCCAAGAGGAGCCCCCAGAAGGCAGAGAGAAGTAAAGAAATGGAAGACACACATGAACGTGGCTTTTGTCACCATTTTGCTTTGCATTGGTTCTCATTCTCAAGCCACGGACAATTAATGGGTGGACAGCCTCCTGATAAAGCGTCACTTTGATGGACTGTGCTGTGCACCTAGGAAGCCCCAGCACATAGTAGGCACTCGTAAATATTCATGTATTTATGAATGAATGAATGAATGAATGCTACATCAACATATTGTTAGAGGAAGGGGCCAGGGTGAAGTGGTTAAGATGTCCTGCTTTGGGGCCAGACAGACCTGGGTTTGACCCTCAGGTGTGCTACTTGTTGGTTTTGTGACCTTAGGCAAATGACCTCTTTGGGCCTCAGTGTTCTTATCTATAAAAATGGGGTTGATTATAGTACCTACTTCATAGGGTGATTGTAAAAATTAAATGATATGCTCTATTTAAGTAGTTTGCCTGTAGTAAATGGCAGGTATTGTGACTGTTATTTATCCTTGGTGGGGAAAGGAGTAGAGTGAAGTTCAATCCTGTCATTTAATGAGCGTGTGAGGGGGGTGGTGTCAGTTCATTTCTCTGCACCTCAGTTTCTCCAACTATTAAATAAACTAAGGTGATTTCCAACTTAGGTCTGTTGGATAGGAATTGTGTTCAGGGCATTGGCTTAGCAAGTACGTTGGGATTTATTTTTCTCATGTAGCAAGAAGTGTGGAGAGAGAGAGTCCAAAGTTTGTGCAGCAGCTCTGCCCATCATGCTCTCAAGGACTGAGGCGCCTTCTGTAGCACCTTTTCCCACCATCCTTAGTTGGTGGATATTTATCTTCTTCTCAAAATGGCAACCCTGGTCAGGAAGAAGGGGAAATGGAGACGGGCCAAAGGTGAAACCAGGCAAAATGTCACCTTTTAAAGAGCATTCCTGGAAACCATGGGTCTCGTTGGCCAAGTTGGGGTCCTGGGTCTACCGTTAGCCACAAAGGAAGCTGGGAGAATTTTAGCTGAGCCTCTGAAAGGAGGCGTCTGCTGGTAGAAGCGGAGAATGGATATTGAGAAGCAGACAGATAGCAGGGTCGGCCACCCAAGGCAGTCAGGAGATAACAATTGTCTCACTGGAAACTCATCTGGATTTATGCAGGCATATCAAATTATGAATATAAGATGAAGGTTTAGGCCAGAGGCACCAAACAAAAAAGAAAAATTTTCCCTTTGATGATGAGTCATTTAGAAGACTCTCTGCCTTCTGTTTCTAGAATCCCATTGTCTTCAATGAAGGATTCTGTTTGTGGTTTTTCACCTAGCTACCGAGACAGAACTCTCTTCAGAAACACACACCTCCTCCTAGGAGACGCCTCGAGTGTAGATGTGGGGAGTTATGTTGTGATTTGCATGGGGCTGGCTTTGGCGATCTCATCCTGGCGTTTTAAGAAATGTGGGCAGGGCATTCGTCTGTGATGGTCACTACTTTTCATGGCCATTCTCGACAATGCCCGTGTGACTTCTGTGTGACTTCTGTGTGACCCCAGTGCAGAATTAGGCTTAGAGGAGGCAAGAGATGCTGCCTGATGACCAAGCAAATGACATCATCATCAAGGTTGAGACTGTCCCATCCGGGATCCAAAGGCACCTGCTCTCCAATCACATGGTGCCAGGAAAGCTGGTGAACTCAAGCTTCCGCATGGTCTCATCCGCATCTGACATCCATGTGACGGACTCGCAGACTTTCAGTCCCCGGAATGACAGAAAGGCCGAGTGCTTGTTACGGTTTTCAACATCTTTGAATGAATCGTTTTCTCAGACCCTTTGTAGCCCAGAGAGCGTGGGCATAGATGCTCCTTGTACATCACATGAAGATATTCAAGGTAGGAAGACACTGGGGCAGAGCAGTTAGGACGAGAAGCAAAGAAGGCTTCCCAGTGGTCCACAGGGTTTCTTAGTCATGAGGCATCAAGTAGGTTGAAGGTTTGGTAAATGACCTGAGGATGCTAGAAACCAAGGAGGAGTCACTTTGAGGGCATCTAACACCTAAAAAGGAGTTGGCCTTGATCAAGCTCATTCCGTGGGTCTGGTGCCTCTGCCAAGCACTTCCTTTTTGTTATCCGTGGAGTTGAGTTTTATTTCCTCCCCACACTCCACGTCAGTGAGGCAGGCACACTTGTCATTTCCATTTGCTTAATGAGGAAACGGAGGTTCGGGGAAATTAAGCGATCTGGCAGATTTGGGGCCCAAGTGCAGGTTTGGCTGGGTCCCAAGCCTGACACCTTAACCACTGTCCTGTCCGCCTTTGGTCCAATTCCTCCCCACCCTGGAGTCGGCAACACAGGAGGCCTGTTAGTGCCAAGTCCGCCATGAAACCAGGCCTTCGCCCAGACCCCCCTGCCTCTGCTCCTGAGCCCAAATACCGTTTGGTTCTTCGGATGGTGTTTCTGTTTCAGCCCATAATACTCCAGGTGTAAAATCTAGCCTCTCTCAGTGATTTCTAAGAGGGGAAAAAAAAATCCATTTACAGCAAAGCATTGTGTGGGTGTAGCACCTTTAATGAAGAGTTGGGGTGTCTCCTGCCATGCTGCTGTTTTCCCAAATCTCTTTTTTTTTTCTGCCTCCCTCCTTCTCATTTCTTCCGCTCTGTCTGTCCCCCTTTCCCTCTCAGGAGAGAGCAAATTCCTTGTGTTCAGGCCAATGATTTGGTGGTGGCCCTTTTCTGGGGACCCTCCCTCTACCTCAACTACCGTATGTCATTAACATGAGGGGTCCTGGCTCAAGAGCTTGACCAGGGAGCCAGTTGTGACTCCAGCCAGGCCCCCTGCTGGCTTTGTCACTGGTATAAGATGGTGGCAGCAGTTCCAGGTGTCACATGAGGACACACAGCATCCAGAGGAAGAAGGATCTGACTTTTCCTTGTTTTCTGAGTTTTGCTCTTTTGAGAAGGAGGAAACCTTTGCCAAGAAGCTCTCCAGCAGGCCACCCCTCACAGGACATTGACCAACACTGTGTCACATGTCTGTGCCTGAATCAGTCACCTGCAAAGGGGCACAGGGCCATCGGGATTGGCTGGACTCGTTGGGATGTGTCCCCTCTGCCTGGAGAAGGGCCCCACCCTGCAGAAGCTCAGGGCCATGGGAGGGAGGCGTGCAGGTTTCTAAACAGAATTGGGATTCTATTAAAAAGGAGAGATGACTTTGGGGTCACTAATGATATCCACCATACTGCCCCAAAATGTAAATATGTGTTAGCAGGAGAAGAGTGGGTGTCACGTCCTGCGTGGCAAGGGCAAATGGGACACGAGAGGGGCGACGCAGATTGAATAAAGAGACAGAGACAGAAGTAAGATTTAAGAGCGAGACCAAGGGACTCAGCCTAAGAAAGACTGAGCCCTGAATCGGGTCAACGCATGGCTTTTATTGAGAATCTTCAAAGAAGCAAACTGCAGAACTGTGAATCATTAACCATGTATAGGTGGGTGCCTTAAGGCTTGTTCCCATTACCTGACCCCATTGTACTCCAACAAATGTTATGCCTTCATACATCACTGCACAGCCCCAGGACACTGTGTTACATGTCCTCCCAGGGGAGACAACCGATATCATTCCATCAGGTCTCAGTTTTCCGAGACGCCCCCCGAGAGAGCTTTACAGATATCATTCCATCCGGCCTCAGTTTTCCGAGACACTCTCTCGACTACAGGGTATGAAGCTAATGCAGAGGGGGTGGTCGTGGGATTGGCTGTAAGGCAACAAGTGGGGAGTTGTCCCAGGGGGGTGGGAGAACATGTGACAACAGTCAAGGGTTGTAAAGAAGGTGCTTGGGTCTGGAGTCCAGGGGGCACGAGAAAGTGATGCGAGCTGTTAAAGTTGGGGAGGAGAGAGGGGCTGACCAAACATACGGGGTCTTGTTGGCCTTGTTAAACGTTTTCTGTTTTGTTTTGTTTATTTGTCATGGGAAATGGAAAAGATTGACACTTGGAATTGCATGCAAAGCATCATTTGAAGTTTAACACAGACGCAGGCTGTCATCCCGTTTTTATTTGTGACCTTTGGGATCACATTCTTTTTTCCTTGTGCGCTTACAAAAACATGGCTCTAACTTCAGCACCATCTTTTTTTTTTTTTTTTTAAGATTTTTATTGGGGAATCGGGGGAAGGAGAACAGACAAGTTGCTGTCCTTTTGTTCTTCAGTCTAGTTGTGGAGGATGTTGCTTCACTGGCCCAAGTTGGCACCATCATTGCGCTCTTCCTGGGCGAGGCAGATCAGTCGTCGGCTTCTGGATGGCCACTCACGCTGGCTGCTGGCTACACACGGTAGCCCATGGCAACCCACTGCAGCAGGGGCTGCAGCCTACGCCGTCGCCGGCGACTCATGGCAGCCCAGCTCCAGGTGGAGCTGTTGTTCAGCATCTTAGCTGTGGAGGGCAGTGTCCCTGGCCCTCATATGTAGGATCCAAACCGGGACCCTCTGGCGTCCCAAGCCAGCTCTTAACCATCACGCCACTCGGCCAGCCCAGCACAATCTTTTAAAATGCTGTTATCCTGTGAAAGGAAGGAAGAAAGAAAAAAAAAATTAACTACGTTTATTTTCTTCCTCAGGACAAAAGTTAATTACATCTCTGATTTCCATGACATCTAGAGACAGAATTAAAGCCATCAGGAGTCAGCCGAGGGCCATGGAAGAGAAAAGGAACCTTAGGTATGGACTGAAAGCTTTTCTTCTATCCCAGGTTTCATGCAAACCTTATCTTCTACTTTCGCCCCATCTTAGAGAGACCCTAAATAAAGAAATGCTAGAGAAGAGACAGTCTTCCTACAGAAGTATTCTACATAATCTGTGTAGACGTTTCTACTACCCACTGGAGTGTGGGCTGTGCTTGGTGACCAGCTTCCAAAGAGTAGAGTGTGGTGGGGGGAGGGGAGGGCGGGGAGTAACTTTCCAGAGAAGACTTCCAGGTAAAACTACCTCAGCCAGGTGATCAAGGTTGACATCCCCAGAGGTTAGTCATGTGACAAGGACACAGCCCCTCTGTGGCAGTCTCCTAAAACCCATACCCACCAGGCTAACCAGAGAAAAACATCAGGCAAACCCCAATTGAGGGCCACTGTACGGAATACCCGACCAGCACTCCTCCGAACTGTCAAGGTCATCATAAATGAGGAACATGTGAGGAGCTGTCACAGACTGGAGACATGACAACTAACTGCAATGTGGGATAGATTCTGGAACAGAAAATTCCAGCCATCCACTCTCTTTGGGGCTTCGAGCTAACTGTTCCCTATGCACGGGACCGTCCGTTATCCATAAGACTAACCCCTCCTCTCTGCCAGTGAATAGAGTGAAATATCACTGTTTTTCAAATTGTGTTTTTTGTTTGTTTGTTTGTTTTAAGCTGAGCCATCCTGCCACCTGTTGGCAGCTCAGCAGCTGCTCAGCTGGGGCGAGGAATCGAACAGCTGTTGCTCAGAGCTCGAACTCTTGAGCAAGCTCTTAACCAACAGAGCCACTCGGCCGGCCCTTTCAAATTGTAACAGGGTTCCCACCCCAGCATTTCCTATCTCCCTTCCCTGTCTGTTTTCCCATTTCCTTTTCCATAACACAAACCACCTTTTAATATCCTATATTGTTTACCCATTTTGTTATTATGTTCCTTGTTTCTTTTCTTTCTCTTCCTGAGGCAGGGAAATTGGTCCCTTTCCACCCGGGACTGTGCTGGGCACGTCGTGACACTCAGTACACATTTTGGGAGTGAATATATGATAGCATTGATATTTCTCGCTTTCTTCTGCCACTCCCCACAGGAAAATAGTTGACAAAGAGAAAAGTAAGCAGTCCCGTCACATCCTTGAGTTCAACTGCTGCTCTCAGTGTCTGAACTCCATTTCATTGGTAAGTCAGCCTTTGCTGTACTCGGAAAAATGGGCACAACCAGAGGGTGAGAACAGGGCGGTAGAAAGTGGGGATGGAACGGGACCCATGGGGGGAGGAACCAAAATCCAGGGTGTTTCCCTGAAAGTCATAGAAATTGGGTCATTGTAGGTGTGGGGATACCAGATGGGCATTCGGAGGTCTGAGTTATCCTTACAGCTTATCCGCTGTGCGTGTCACCTTCAACTGCAAACCTGGGAAGGTAATAGTAGCACTCACTTTAGCTCGGATTAAATGAGATGACATTTGCAGACGTGCGTATGGAAGGGCCTGGCACATTGTAATGCTCCAGAACAGCGGCCGTTGTCGCAGTTGTGGGGCCTGTTGGGGACGTACTTGTTGAGGGAACGTCAAGCCTTGTGCTCTGTGCCCCAACCCAGGCCCACCGGAGATCCAAGAACAGCCTGTCGGAGCTGCTTAACTCCATCAGCCTCTGGCAGAAGACGCTCAAGGTCATTGGGGGCAAGTTCGGAACCAGCGTCCTGTCCTATTTCAACTTCCTGATGTGGCTTTTGAAGTTCAACATTTTCTCATTCATTGTGACCTTTGGCTTCATCATAATCCCTCAGTTAACCGTGGCCACAAGGAACACCCTTCAATTCACCGGACTGGAGTTTTTGACGGGGGCGGTAAGTTCTCCCTCCCCTCCACCTGCAGTTCACCACCCCAGAAACCTGGAGACATTCCTTGCTGGTCACCAATCCAGACCTCTTATTTTCCCTGGGAGTCAGCTGATGGGCAAGTGGGCGTGTAAATAATGTTTACCGTTTCCCCCCAAAGTCACATATACACAACATAGAATTTCTGTCTCCTGTGCTAACAGTTGGTGCTGCTCAGAATCCTCTTCTCTGCGCACATAGGGACACATATGTGCATATGCATGTCCATATGCATTCCTTTCTCTTTTTGTTTTTGTTCATATATACTGCCTACGGCTTGTTTTCTTCACCTCATATGTGGCGGATGTCTTGTGCTGGCGTTCATAGATCAGCCTTTTCTTTCTTCGTTATTTTTCGTTCTACAAAATACAATGCTTCTTTTGAAAAGTTCCTGTTACAGAAGCGAACAAACTAAGGGAAAGTCCATTTTACCCTTCTTCCCTTGTGTAACTCCCCAGTTCAGAGGGTATCTTTGTCCAGTGCTTTTCTTCTTTTACAAACATAGATACATAGGTAGGTAGGTAGGTAGGTAGGTAGGTAGGTAGATGAATGGATGGATGGATGGATAGATAGATAGACAGACAGATATTCTTTTAAAAAATAAAAAGAGGATAGGATACTACAAGTCTTGTTTTCAACATTTTTTGCTTCACTGTATGTCTTGACTATCTATATAGATCCGCATTATTCTACTTAATATCAACCATAACTTATTTTATTTATTTATTTATTATTTATTTATTTAGCTGAGCCATCCTGCCACCTGTTGACAGCTCCATGGCAGCTCAGCTCAGGTCGGGAATCGAACCGCTGTTGCTCAGAGCTCACACTATTGAGTGAGCTCTTAACCAACTGAGCCACTCGGCCGGCCCTCAACCATAACGTATTTGCCCAGCTCCTTACTGAGGCACATAGCCCTTTGTGAGTTCACCTTCTAGAACAGATTTCTGCTATTGATATTCTGTAGACCCAGGATTGACAAACTCCAGTCCGTGCGCCAACTCTGGCCAGACACCTGTGTTTGATCAGCCCGCAAACTAAGATGGGTTTCTACATTTTTAAATGCTTGAAAACCATCAAAAGAAGGATAGCACTGGGAGAAACATGAAAATTATGTGAAATTCAAATTTCAGCATCCATGAATAACATGCTTTTGGAACACGGCTGCCCTCATTTACTTGTGTGCATGTTTGTGCTGCTGTGCTGCTATGTCGGCAGAACTGAACCCTTCCTGTGACTGCCATATTGGCCTGCCAACCCAACATGATTTACTCTCTAGCTCTTTACACAAAGAGTCTGCTGATTCTTGCAGTGGGATGTTCAAAGTAAGACTCTTCCATTTGTCTTTTTTTTTTTCTGTTAAAAAGAATTTCCTTGGGATAGATGCATTGAAATGGAATTATTGTGTACATTTATTTTTTTCTCATTACTATATAGTTTTTGTGTATGTGTATATATGAAACATTTTATTATGAAAAATTTCAACCATACAGAAAAATAAAAAGTCATGTAATAAACACCCACCTATGGGCCGGCCGAGTGGCTCAGTTGGTTAAGAGCTCGCTCAAGAGTTTGAGCTCTGAGCAACAGCGGTTCGACTCCCGGCCCAAGCTGAGCAGCTGCTGAGCTGCCAACAGGTGGCAGGATGGCTCAGCTTAAAAAAAAATCTATAAACACCCACCTACACACTACATAGCTTTACTATTGTTCACATTTTGCCCTATTTGTCTTATCTTATTATTTTGGGAGGCATTTTACAATACGTTATAGACCTCAGGACATTGTGAATTTCTTCAACGTGCGCCCTGCTTTTGAGTCACGCTTTGCTTGGTTACTGGGTCCAGGGGTCCCTCTATTTTAAACTTACGTGAGTTTGGGATTCTTTTCCAACTCCGAGAGCCTAGTGATAAAATGTCCAGCTTCTCAGTGGCCTTGAGTGCCCCTTTCCTGGCCAACAAAACATCTAAATTGACTGGTCCAAGCTTCCTGTAGATAAAAGAAGTCAACTGTCCTGACCATAGTCATTCGTCATTTTCTCAAGAGACCCACCTGACCTAGGGCTTATTGTCCCTTCCAGGGTTATTTTAGCGACACGGTGATGTACTATGGCTTTTACACCAACTCCACAATCCAGCACGGGGAAGGTGCGGCCTCCTATAATATGCCACTCGCCTACCTCTTCACGATCGGAGGCTGTTTGGTCGTCTGCTTTTTCAGCTTGCTGTTCAGGTATGGAGGGTCTGCATTTCTGGATGCTAAGGTCTTTTTAAGTTTAGACAAAATTCAAGAGACTAGAAAATTACCCAGGAAACAGTTTCTCTGTAATCTACCTGATCATTCCTCATCCTGCAACAACAACAAAAAATATTAGTTCGGACAGAGGAGAGAGGTTTTTGTGTGCTTTTAAAGCAATTGGTCAGTCCAAACATACGAATGCAATGCCTCAAGGTGTCATATGGACAGAAAGACATGGATGGACAATTGTCAGTTGACAGTTGTCAAGGACGAGGAACAGATGTTCAACCTCTATATTAGTTTGTAGGTCTGCAGGATCAAAGTGCCACAGATGAGAGGCTGAAACAACAGGAATTTATTTTCTCACGTTCTGGAGACTAGAAATCCAGGATCAAGGTGTCGGCAGGACTAGTTTCTTCTGAGGCCTCTGTTCTTGACCCGTCTTCTCCCTGGGTCCTCAAATGGTTGTCCCTCTGTCCATGTCTGTGTCCTAATTTTCTCTTCTTATAAAGGACACAGGTCATATTGGATTAGGGCCCAACTTAATGACCTTATTTTAAATTAGACACCCTATCTGCAAACTCAATCATGTTCTTAGGTCCTGGGGGTTAGGACTTCAACATATGCATGAATTTTTAGGGGATACAATTCAGTCTATAACAACTTTACTGGCAGCACAATAATTCAAAGTAAAATGAGATTCTGTTTTGTCCTGTCAAACTAGGAGCTGCTTCCTAAGTTGCTGTTACTCAGTGGTGGAAATTTGGGGGAAGGTAGTGTCTAGTTTCTATTCAACATTTATTTATCCTGGGCCTGACTTCACTGAGTCATCCTGATATGTTCATGATAAGAACAGCTGCCATTATTAAGTGCTTACTGTTGTAAGCGCTGCATTGACTCTTGTGGTAGACCGAATAATACCCTCGACACCCCCCAAAAATGTCCCCATCCTCATCCTCAGAACCCATGAGTATGTTCCCTTACCTGGCAAAAAGGAATTTATAGATGTGATTAAATTAAGGATCTTAAAATGGGAAGGTTAACTTGTAGTATCCAGGTAGGACCAAGGTAATCCCAAGGATTCTTATAAGTGAGAAACAGGAGGGTGAGAGTCACAGAGAGAGTGGAACATGTGCCTCTGCTGGCTCTGAGGTTGGAAGGCGGGGTCGCCAGCCAAGCAATGCAGGCGGCCTCCAGACGCTGGAACAGGCCAGGAAACAGATTGTCCGCTAGAGCTGCCAGAAAGATCACAACGCTGCTGACACCTTGATTTTATTTTATTTTTTATTTTTATTTTACTTTTTAAAGATTTTATTGGGGAATTGGGGGAAGGAACAGCATTGGGGAATCAGGGGAGGGGAACAGACAAGTTGCTGTTGCTTTTGTTCTTCAGTCTAGTTGTGGAGGACGTTGCTTCACTGGCCCATGTTGGTATTATCATTGAGCTCTTCCCGGGTGAGGCAGCTCGGTCGCTGGCCATTGGACAGCCACTCATGCCGGCTACAGCCACTGACGCCGGCTGTCAGCCACTCACAGTAGCTCACAGCAGCCCACTGCAGCCCCACTGCAGACTTCGCCGTTGCCGGCAACTCATGGCAGCTCAGCTCCAGGTCGAGCTGTTGTTCACCATCTTAGCTGTAGAGGGTGCAGCGTCACTGGCCCTCTTGTGGGATCTGAACCGGGGCCCTGCTGCTCAGAGCTGGCGTCCCAAGGCAACTCTTAACCAACACGCCACTTGGCCAGCCCTGACACCTTAATTTTAGATCCATTCTGATTTCTGACCTCCAGTAAGAGAATACATTTGTGTTGTTTTAAGCCACTAAGTTTGGGGCCGTTGGTTACAGCAGCAATAAGAAACAAGTATACCTCTTGTAATACTGTGAGGTGGGTACTATTATTATCTCCATTATACTGATGTGGAAACTGAGGCTCAGGACAGAATGACAAGAACCCCCCTGCTGGCAATCCAGGATTGTTGTCAGGCCTGTCAGATCACCATTATGGCTGCGAGCACGCTATTCCAGAAGAACTCGGAGTTAATGTGTTGCTTTTCACATTGAAGGATAGGACTTTTCTTGGTTTTCATCCCTGCTCTCCTCAATGCTTGTCCGATTAACCCTTGGACATTTTGGTTTCTGCCCTCCTTAGCATGGCCAGGTATTTCCGAAACAACTTCATTAACCCTCAAGTTTACACCAGAGGGATCGCTAAACTTATTTTTTGCTGGGACTTCACCGTCACTCACGAAAAAGCTGTGAAGCTGAAACAGAAGAACCTGAGCACTGAGATAAGGGTAAGGCGAGTTTGCTTTTACAGCCTCTTCCTCGGCCAGTCTCCTTCCCTGCCTTAGTGTGTCTGTGACTTTTCTTAAAGTAATAATGAATTATTGGCCACTCATGAGATTGGAAAAAAACACACCAAAAACAAACAAACAAAAAAACACTACCCAAAAACCCAGAAAAAATACAATGCCCGGTGCTTGTGATGGTGTAGGGAAATGGACATTTTCATATGCCGTGGCTGGCTTTGTCATTAGTACAAGCTTACTGGAAGGCAGATTAGCAATTTATATCCACACGTTAACTGTAAATACTTCTTGACCTCATAGATCCAGGTTTAAATTTTTCTCCAGTGGTTTTCAACCCAGGTCATGATGCCGCTCAGGGAACATGTGGCCTCCAGTAAGAGAGGTCTGGAGACTTTTAAGGTTGTTACCAAATTGAGGAGGGGGTGTTCCTGGCATCCCGTGGGTCGATGGTAGCTAAGTATCCTGTAATACACAGGACAGCTGCCACAACAGAGGACTACCTGGCGCCAAATGTCCATGGTGCCAAGGCTGAGAAAACCCGGGTTGTAGAAAAATCTTATTTAAAAAAAGATCAAGCAGAATGTATATAACACAGAGAGGCCTTGTTATGAGGATTGCAGATGTTAAGTTCTTATTCTTCAAGAGACTGGCATGACCTCAGTCTACTGTCCTCAGTCCCAATCTGTTGGTCCTGTCTGTTCATCTAAGACAGAGAAGCCAGTTGGTGCAGTGATGGGGGTTCCTGCCCATTTGAGATTTTCCCGGGGGTCTCCCATAATCCGTGATCATCGTGGTCTGTCCCTCTCTCTTGCCTGTGGATTTGGGGTGTGTTTGTGTCTCCCTGGGGGGAGGGAGAGCCTTTGGTAACGGTGGGAAGGGGTCTGTGGGCCAATGTGACTTCCTCTTGTTTCTAGGAGAACCTGTCAGAAATCTGTCAGGAGAAGGTCAAGTTAACGCTCAATCAGCACCTGACCCGCTTTGCTGTCCACCTGGCAGCCTGGGTTGTCTCCACCGGAGTGGCCGTTGCCTGCTGTGTCGCTGTTTATTACCTGGCTGGGAACAACATAGAGGTAGGAGGACCAGGGACCGGAGCACAGAGAGCCAGGGACGGGGTGCTGGAGGGGAGGGTGGAGTAGAACTCGCTACTCAGACCGAGGTCGTGGCCGGCAGCATTGCCATCAGCTGGAAACGTGTGAAAAAATGCAGAACTCAGGTCCCTCCCTTGGTCCATGGACTCAGAAACTGCATCTTAACAACGTCCCCAGGTGACGTGTGTGCACCACTTAGAGTGACAGGCTCTGGGCTGGTGGGGAGATGGGACCTTGGATTGCAGACCTGGGATCAAGCTCCGGGTTCTTCCTGTATTATTATAACTCTGATGCCTCTCACAGCTCCTGGCATTGTGTGATCTGATGGACTCTAGCAAGTGATGTAATCTTTCCAAGCCCCAGGTTCCTCACCTGTAAAATGGGAACCATCATACCTGGCCTTGTAGGTGTGTGGTCGTGGCCAAGAGAACAGTTATGTGGAGGGTCCACGTAGAGCCTGGTACTGTGGGTGAGAAAGGAATGTCAGTTAGGTTTTTTTTTTAATGATATGAATTCTGAGATTAGTTAGCTGGGTAGCAAAATACTGTTTTTCTGTAGGTGTCAGCTTTCTCCTCTGGAAAATGGGACTAATTATAGCAAGTTTGCTGACCTCTGGAATTGTGGTGCAGGTTGGTCTGATGATGTCATTTTCTTTAATGGCTTCCCATAACCCTTAACATCAAATCTACCCCCCACAGCAGGACTGGTAGATCTTTTATGATCTGACCCCTGCCCACGTCTTTAGCCTTGGCACCTCACAACCAACCATATTAAGGTGTGCCCTGAAAGAGGAGAAGGTGGGTCCTCAGGGGCCTGGCATTGTCTACGTAGGGTGGACGCTGTGACTGGGCAGCAGTAGGTAGAAAGACTCCTGAGCTGCTCCTTCACCCAGAAGGCTTTCTCCACGCCCACTTGACGTGAAGGAGGGCAGCAGAGGAGGAGAGGCAGTGGAAGTGGAGCCGTTCCCATTATTTGGACATCCAGTCCGTGCTAGCCAGGATCAGCCCTTTCTACAACCAATGGGTCACATTCACTGCCAACTACAAGTTCATGTGAATGGTGCCCCAGCCGTGTGTCAATTAGGGGCCAGACCTTGCCTTATGGGTCTCACTTGATCCTCGTATCGTCTCTGTGGGTTATGTGACAGTTTCCCCATTACCCAGACGGAGAACAAGAGGCTTAGAGGAGCTATGTATCTGTCCCCGGACCTTGCACTTTACAAATATAGGGAGGGGGACAGAATTTCCTAGGCCGACTCCAAAGATACTGCCAAAAATTCGAGGAGTGCTTTCAAAACCAGCTGGAGGTAGGTAGAGGCAGGGTCAGGCTTGGAGGTAAAAAAGGGGGATTGTGAGACGTCAGATAAATCCACTGGATTCCTTTACTCCATGGATGCTCGGGAGAAGCCAGTCCGGGCTCCACTCCAAGCCAGACAACAGGGTGTCGTGTCCACGTGAAGGAAGGCGTACCTCTCCCGACCCCATGCAGAAGTGCGGCCTGGGCTAGCAGAGGTTCCCCTGCCCCTAATTTAGCCCCCAAGGGCGGGCGCAGCCTGGTGACAATGAAGCAGGCCGTGCCGGAGCAGAGAGGAGAAGTTCCACAGGGGTGACACCCTTGTGCTGTAGCTTCCGTAGACTCAAGCTTTTGCGCCAGCAGCCGGGGAGCACGTTGGCATTGACCCAGACCTCTTGTAAGGAAACCAAGACCACAGCATGGCTGATTGAGCTCAGGCTCCTGAGTCAGATAGACCTGGGTTCAATCTGCCACTTGCTGGCTGGGTGACGCTGGGCGAGCATCGTCACCTCTCTGTGCCTCGGTTTGCATGTCAGTTAAATCTGTAAATACGCCTCTGCTGGGCTGCAGGGAGGGCAAATGCAGTCATGGGGTGATGCTTGGCAGAAGGTAAGCGACCAATAACTGCTATCTTAATTGCTAACCTCAGAGCAGCTACTTCCCAGGGCTTTCCCATTGTGAGGGCTCTTCTGAACCAGGCAAAAAGGGTCTGGTGCGCCGCCGTGGATATCTCAGTTCCCTCCCTCTGTCCCTTGCAGTTCCTGGCGAGCCACAGGGACCCCGGGGCAGTGCTGTTGCTGCCTTTCGTTGTGTCCTGCATCAACCTGGCCGTGCCACGCTTCTACTCCGCGTTCAGGCTGGTGGAGCGTTACGAGATGCCACGGCATGAAGTCGCTGTCCTTCTGGTCCGGTATGTGTGTCTGTCCCTCCCAGCGCCCACCCCCATTTTCACCACCGGAAATGGGCGGGGAGCTAGAAAGAGTTCTGCTCACCCTCCATGTCCATTGTGGATGGGCAGGAGGGCGTTGCTCGTGTTAACCATGCAGGGATGCAGTGACCATCTCAAATATGGCTGGTGGCCATTCCAGAGGGCAGGCTGAGTCCTGGCAGGCCTCATTGGCATGTAAATGCTCCAGTCTAGAAGTGACGCAATGTGACCTACATCACTTCTGCTCCCAGTTCATTTGCCAGGAGTAGCTAACTGGCCCCACTCATCCACAGGGGGGCGGGAATGTCCATGTTACTATGTGCCCAGGAGGAAGCATGGGCGAACAGCGCAGCAGGTAATGGTCGTTGGCTTCTCTTCTGTTATTTAGAAACATCTTTCTGAAAATATCAATCATTGGAATTCTTTGTTACTACTGGCTCAACATCGTGGCCCTGGCTGGTGAAAAGGTGAGATTTCCGTGCTGCTCTGCCTGAACTTTGTTTTCTTATGCTTTGATCACTAGGGAGGAGGAAGCGAGTTTCTCGTTTCTTGAGAGTGTCTGCTCATGATATTAAAGCAGATATCATGCTATTCTTCTATCCATCCATCTGTCCATCCTTCCTTCTTTCCATCCATCTATCCATCTATCCGTTCATCCATTCATCCATTCATCCATCCATCCATCCTGCCTTCCTTCCTTCCTTTCATCCATCCATCTATCCTTCCTTCCTTCCTTCCTTCCTTCCTTCCTTCCTTCCTTCCATCCATTCATCCATCCATTCATCCATTTATCCTTCCTTCCTTCCTTCCTTTCTTCCTTCCATCCATCCTTCCTTGCATCCGTCCATCCATCCATCCATCCTCGGGCTATGCACCTAAAACTTTTCTTCCCTTAGTCAGTCACATCTCTAAGCTCCCAGTCCATCGGCTCAGCACCAGCTTTCTACAGGGGCAACTGACCACCAGTTTCACAAACTGACTAATTCGAGCTTCCAGTGTGTACCAGCCTGCTAAACCTCTAGGGCACTTTCTCAATAGCAGTTACTGATGTTTCATAGGGTTAATAAGCAAAAAGAGTGGAGGCATTGTTCGCCGTTGATGCCTCCAGCTCTCCCAAAGAAACTGATCAGCCCAGGCTGAGAAATGGGATCCAGAGGGCATCGGAGAGAGGTGAAAGGAGTTAAAAGGAGAGAGAGTGAGAAGGGGGAAGTTTGGGTGCCTATGGGAGGGGCAGGCCTTAATGGCGGAAGACGAAGAGCAGTAAATCAATAAATGCGCTGAAAACAAATTTGGCCTAATGCTATATTTCTTCCGGGAGTGGGTCTGCTTTTCTGGGGACCCGAGGACTCCGTCCTCGTGAGTCATGTCCTCGTGAGTACAGGGGGCCAGGAACAGCTGGACGCTGAGTGGAGGAACAGCGCCTTCCCACAGCGGGACTCTTGTTTGTCTTCCAGTGTTGGGAAACCCTCATTGGCCAGGAAATCCACCGGCTCCTCCTGATGGATTTCGTGTTCTCGTTAGCTGATTCCTTCCTGGGGGAGTTCCTGAGGAGGTAAGTATTGGTGTGTCTTGAGGAAGTGGTACCTTGAGTTGTAAGCTGAGCCGCTGTCTTGACTGAGCCGGAAGTACGGGTCCCTCGCTCCTCTAAGTGCGCTTTGTTCTAAATCTGCCTGTTGTGTCCTTCAGGGTATTGTTTTTGTTTTTTTTCTAAATTAACTGAAACGTCACCTTGTTTCAGGTCCTGTTGTCAAAGTTCATTTTGTTCAGTTGGTCCTTTTCAACTTTCTCTTAAAAGAATGTTCTAGAATAAAACACAAAAACTAAGAGCCATTTGCGATCTTACCCGCCGTACATAATTTTAATATTCTAGTATATATTCCTCCACATTTTTCTATGCCCAGCCTGCTGTGTGTGTGTGTGTGTGTGTGTGTGTGTGTACTATATAATTTTCAAAGACAAAAATGGGGTCCCACTGCAAAATCATGTAGACTTTGCTCTTATTCATCTAATCGTTTTACCTTGGTACCTTTCCATGTCAGAATATACAGATTTATCTCATGATTCATTTAACTGTACTAATTTTGGTACAATTGTACAGTTAATGTCCTAACTTTCATTTTAGAACCCAGGTGTACAGAATTGAGGCAGTGGCATCATCGGCCCATTGATTTATGTATTTATTCATTTTTTAATGATAGATTGAGCATCTCACTCCTTATAGACATTTACACATTCCTGCAAGATGCCCTAGTGATGAGATGGCACGACACAATGCTGACTCTTTCCCCAGTGGGTAGGGGGAATGCCCAAATTCCTCACTTGGTCTCCCCAAACTCACTTTCAGTCCAACCTCTGTCTGGGATCTGGACAGAAAGATGAGAAGTTTTTTGGGTTTTCTTGACAGCAATTTTTATTGGCAACTCCTCTGTAGGAAGAAATAAAAGCGGTCTCAAGTTTCCTTAGAGTACACAGGGACTTTGGTTTCCTTGTAGATTTAGAAATAAGGAAACACCATTGATCCAATAGCAGTAATGAAACACTGAAAAAAAATGTACTTTGTCTAGGTTGGGAGGGGCTGAGTTTATGTGCTCATAAAAAAGAGGTTTACGAAGCCAAGAGTTGTATGTGGGATAATTTAAATGATAAGGTCACAAATGTTCTCTAGAATTTTTTTAAACCACGTTAGCCGTACCCCTTCATTTGAATGTATTGTGTTAATTCCGTTTTGCCTCAATTCCCTCAATTCTTTCTTCTAAAACATGCTTATACTTGGAACTTTTCAAAAATTGGTAAGGGGCCTTGGCAGTTTCTGCCACACTGGGTGGTTGTGGGGACTCTTTTTAAAGGAGGGAGTTGATGGTTTGGGTACTAAACGCCGTGTGTTTTCACAGAATCATTGGGACGAAGTTCATCACAAGCCTTGGCTTACCGGAGTTTGACATTGCCAGGAATGTTCTAGAGCTGATCTACGCACAGACTCTGGTGTGGTAAGTTGCGCGGCTCTGCCATGTGCCCAGTGGTTCCCACATGACTGTGAACTTGGCGTTTTGGTGGCGAGCCCCAGCATCCGTGGTGTTCAGAGCTGCATGGGCCATATCACCACCAGCCATGCACTTCTGTCCTTTTTCCTTGTGAGGACTTCTGACGAGAATAAGCGTGGGGCCGGGGTCCTGCCCGGAAGGCCCCCAGGCCGGATCCAGCCTGCAGGTGTCTTTGGCCCCTCCCACATGGCGCGTGTTCTAAACATTTGAATTAACCGCCAATATTTAAAAATCAGGAGATGTCACGTAAAATTTTAAAATTCTGGCTTCTCTCCGAAAAAAGGAAAGACCTAGACCATCTCCCATGGTGGTAACGGTTGGCTGGGCCTTGAGCTGGGCTGGCGTCTTCACTTTGCCACAGTCGCCGCCTTGAACTGTTTTCTCTGCACCATAGATTTGTCACTTCCTGTTGCCTTTATGCTGTGAGTCTCCTTAGGGCAGAAAAGTTTCACTTTGCAATCACGTCTCAGCAGAAGTTGGGAAATGAAGACAGGCAGAGAGAGCTGTTCATTTCCACCTGGCCTGCTTCCCTCACCGATGTCACACCTGGTGGGGCCTCTGTAGTCTTTGGGTTCTGCAGCCTGTTTGAGCAACTCTGTGTGTGCGTGCGTGCGTGCATGTGTGTGTATAATGTGCGTGTGTGCATGTGTGTGCAATGTGCGTGTGAGCATGTGTGTGCAACACATATGTGCATGACGCACGTGTGTGCAACATGTGTGTGCATGTGTGTGCAACGTGCATATGTGCAGTGCATGGGTGTGCATGTATGTGCAACAAGTGTGTATTTCGGGAATAGCCAGCTAGTCGCATCAAATTTTTGACAAGCTCACCTGGAAACCCAAACCAATAGCCAGTAACCATTTTTATCTATTTATTTTAACACGATATAATTAAGGCCAACATTCTGCGTGGTGGATGACATCCCCAGATTCCATCTGGTGGGGTTTTGGTAATGTGAAAGTAAGGGACTTGGAGTTGGCGAAACCTGGCTTCTGGGGCCGGCTCTGCTGCTCACGGAGGCCACTGTGCCTCTCTGAGCCTGTCTCCTCATCTGTAAAATGCACATAATACTGGCTGCCTTCAAATTGCGTTCAGGGTTAAGTCAGATGCTGTTTGAAAACTGTTTTGCCATCTCTAATAGGCCATACAACTGTAAAGGGTTTCCTTTTCCAGCGCTTTGAAGTTTCCCTGGGTGATTTGGCTATTGGCACGTATCTGCTGTCAATGAATTTAGTTTTAGAGGTAGCGAGAACCTTTTCTTTGTGTGGCTTAGGGGATGCACGTGCCCAGTGCCAGGTCACCGCCTAGTGGCTGGGTAGCTTACAGCAGCCTGTCAGCCGCATCATGTCAGCCAGTGGGATGCCTGGGGGTGAGCTACTCAGCTCTTTCTAAATAGCTTTCTAACCTGCTCAGAGGAGAGATCGTTGTACCCACGGCACAGGTGTAGGTGAGCATGAAATGAGAACCGTATGTACTAAGGCCCAGCGAGTACCTGACTCAGACATATTTTATGAGGGGGAAAAAGTCACCCTCTGAGACAGCCATTGTTACTCCTGGGCCTTTAAGGTGTTTGTTAACAGAGCATCACATTTCTTTTCCTTTTTCTGTTGCAATTATAGATTTAACCTCTGGGTTTTCGGGGAGTATTGTTTTTGGTGGTAAGCTTTACGAGAAGATAATATAATGACAGAAATGGGGTGATGTTAGGGCCGATGGTAAAGATGAGGTGTGTTTCTCAAATGAAGTGTTTCCCAAACTTCAGACATTTGTACCCCAGCCTGCCTACTTTTTAGCATATCTCCATAGCACCTGTACTCTTTTTAACCTAATATTATCTTTTATATTATTGGCCTTTTTTTTTAGCTTAAATACATTTTAATGGAATCTTTATTTTACAATTACAAATGGAAAACCGGTATTGTTTGATAGAAATTGCAAGGAACTTGAAACATAAAATCAATCCCATCTCAAGCAGTCATCAAATTCCAGCTAGAGGCTGCTGTCTGGAAAGGCTTCCAGTCTAAAGTCTGCTGCTGTCTTCACAAAAATGGGAGGTTGGCAAGGGTTAGGCGTTCAAGACATCCTGGCACCAAACTGAGCTCTTCCTGTGGGCTCTGAGGCACCCAGGAGAGTTGGAGATGGCGAGCCCTCTCACGTGTAGCTCAGCGCAGTTTAATGCCCGTCTGTGCAAGATCTCAGACCTAGAATGCCATGGAGGGAGAAGGGGACACATCCCACATTTGGGACACCTAGCTTAGGGCTTGCTGACGGCCCCCTCGTGGCTTAGTGGCTGTGTGGGTGGGGTTCTCTGTGCAGCCTCTTTTCCGGAGCTGGGAAGAGGGCAGCTGTGGATACTGGGCATGGTGGGGATTCGCCTGGTGTGCAGGGTTGGCGGCTGTCTCCCTGCTTAGCAGTTTATTAGGCTTCCATAATGAAGAACCACAGACTAGGCAGCTTAATCAACACGACTATATTTCCTCACAGTTCTGGAGGCCAGAAGTTCAAGATCAAAGTGCGGGCAGAGTTCGTTTTTCTCTCCTTAGCTCGCAGACAGCCATCTTCTCCCTGTGTCCTCACGTGGTCTTCCCTCTGTGTGTCTGGGTCCTGATCTCTTCTTCTTTTTTTATTAAAGATTTTTATTGGGGAATTGGGGAAAGGGGAACAGACAAGTTGCTGTTGTTTTTGTTCTTCAGTCTAGTTGTAGAGGACATTGCTTCACTGGCCCAAGTTGGCACCATCATTGCGCTCTTGCCGGGCGAGGCAGATCAGTCGCCAGCTTCTGGACAGCCGCTCATGGCGGCTGCTGGCTGCTCACGCTGGCTGCTGGCTACACACGGTAGCCCATGGCAACCCACTGCCACAGGGTCTGCAGCCTACACCGTCGCCTCACAGCAGCCCAGCTCCAGGTTGAGCTGTTGTTCAGCATCTTAGCTGTGGAAGGCAGTGTCACTGGCCCTCATATGTGGGATCCGAACCGGGTCCCTCTTGTGTCCCAAGCGAGTTCTTAACCATCGCGCCACTCGGCCGGCCCCTCTTCTTCTTTTAAGAGGATTGGATTAGGGCCTCATTTTACCTTACTCACCTCGGTAAAGGCCCTGTCTCCAAATACAGTCACATTCTGAGGTCCCGGGGGTTAGGACTTCAGCATATGGGTTTGGGAGGCACCTGACATAGCCCATGACACCCGCTTTGCCTTCCCTTCACACCCCATATCTGCACCCCCCTCCCTGTGTCCCCTCTGACACTTCCCCTCTCTCCTTCATAGGATTGGAACCTTCTTCTGCCCTCTGTTGCCTTTTATCCAAATGATTACTCTTTTCATCATGTTTTACGTCAAAAATGTGAGTCAGTCCAAAGTTGGAACCAATCAGCTTTGCTCAGTGACATGTGACCAGGTGGTGGTTGGAATTCGGGATGGGGGGCGGGGAGGGGGCGGGAAGGGTATCAGGAGGCTGGTTCTGGCTGGGCTCTCTCTGGCCTGCTCCTCTGGCCACAGATCATGGATGGCAGTTGGCTGCTTCTCTCTCTTCAGATCAGCCTGAGGATGAACTTCCAGCCTCCGAGCAAAGTCTGGCGGGCCTCCCAGATGATGACTTGCTTCATCTTCTTGCTCTTTTTCCCGTCCTTCACCGGGGTCCTCTGTACCCTGGCCATCACCATCTGGAGGTAGGAGATGGCGGCCTTTGGTGGAGGTCGTAGAGGTGAGGGGAGGGGGACGGGGGGGAGTGTTGGAAAGTGTAGATTTCATTATTATTCAGGTATGATGACGCCCACAGATCAGGAGATGACTGCCATTGAAAAGATACTTTGTTAT